ACCTCTTAGTATATGAGCATTGGATAACCCTACCCTCTCTATTACAGTCAGTGTTCTCAATAAAAAACCATCAATTACACTAAAATATCAGAAATATTGAAGTGACGTTTGTCTGGGTGATGAAGGTTGACAGTATATTAGATGGTCTCTCCCAGTATCAACTGGTTTACTTTTGCATCTTAACAATGTAAACAACCGGCCAGTGTTATGCAACACACTATTCAAATTAGTGCAGTGCAATTAACCCTTGTAAATACTGAAGGTTACTGGGAGCTCTGTTTGGTGACAGTTATCTTTAACAGTGAAACTCAGTTTCTCTTTAGTTATGTTAATTTGCTAAAGATACGTAGCTGCATGCTTCCCAGCAGGTATAAATGTGTTTTCTCTGTGTTGTGTTTTTAGCAAATGTTTGAAGGTTTCTGGAATTGGAGTAGGACTGGAGCCAGCTCTTTGAATGTCACGCAGATGGCGCGTGCCAACCTTTTTCTCCTAAACATTCCCCCACCCCCACCCCAACCACCACCACCACCCCCCCACCCCTCGTCCCCCTTCCTTTTCCAACAGGGGGATGGAGAGCCTCAATGCTATCATTCTTTGATTCTGTTTGAATCTGGCCGCGTGTGAGCAGGAAAAGGAGCCAAACGTGCTTCCTGAGTTGTCCGGGGGGGAAACGCTGTAATAAGCAAGGGGTGGGTGGTTAAAAATAACTGGGCTATATAAGCCCAGAGCAGGATCCCACTCACTCTCAAACTCTCACTGACTCTCACTCAGTCAGGACGTCCCATGCAGGCCCAGCGCTACCTCTCACACTTACACACTGTTTTTCCATGGAAGCTAGTGGAGTACGCCACATGAGGCAGAGCTGATGTGTCCAAATCCTCACCGCAGTGACGGAATACTTACAGACCTGACACAGACATGATGCATGCCTAAATTCATGTCACTGACAGCCCAATAACAACTTGTAAGTGACAACACAGAGTCTCGTCCTGGAGAATATGAGACATACATCTATACAATGAGCCATACAACCCCCAGTTTTTGGCAATTTTTGGAAGCAAATGCAGAATAACGAGGGAATTACACTGTTTAACTGTTAACAAGAAGCCGCGCTGTTTGTGGGGCATGTATATTATACTTTAGAAAAGCATAAGTGAAAGGATGAGGTGGAAGTACAGTAACATTATTGTTTTACATATAGGAGTCATGCTTTTGTCATATCTCTCACAATTATAGTGAGTCCTTTTTCTTTTCTTTTCTTCTTTATTTCCAAGAAAGCCACCGAAATAGGCTGCATCCCTTTTGTGGTTTACAGAAATAATGTTATATCTCAAAATAAAAGATGCAAGTGACAAACAAAAAAAAAAAAAAAGTCTTAATGATCCACCTCACATACAAGCTCTGCTATTGTGAAATGATGCACATGTTTCCCAATGGTAAAACTATTGTGTAAATTTCAATTCAGGGAAAGAGATTTACAGAGGCTTCAGTGGAAATGTTGCGCATCCATGCTCAACAGTTGTCTGATAATGTGATATCTGTGGTTCCTCTTCTGCAGGAAAGGGTAGTCAAATGTGCAGGTCATCCAAAGTGCTGCAGGTTGGGAGAAAGTGATTTGACTTAAGGACACAGGGTCAAGAATTTGTGGAGGACACTGAATCCCCACCAGCTCCGAGGTGTTTGTCCTTGTTTGGACCTTTGATCTGTGCGCAGAGGGGGCAAGCAAAAGGAGAATTTCCCTACAGGGATCAATTAAGTCCCACTTCTTTATGGACTCCTCACAGATCTCTTTAACTGAAACCTCCACTGAGAAATGTTTTTTTTATGTGGGCTGCTGCAGTCAAAAGAGTGTCCCACCCATCACATGCAAGGCCCCGAACATTCGCCCAATTTGCCCAAATGAAATTCTCTCGTCGGGTACGTACACTTCTCCACAGGAAGTGACGGATCAGAATGAAATACAAACCTGTCTCTTAAACGTCACGCGAATTAGTGAGTGCTCCCTCCGAGGGAAACACTGGACCTGCCAGGTACAGCTTTCTTTTCTTTTCTTTTTTTTTTTCTTTTTTTTTTTGTGCTTCTCTCATCCCTTTGCTACACTTCACCGAGCAGTGCACGCTGTGAGCAGTTTCACATGATTTCAGGCTACTTGAGTGCAAATGTTTCGGTCCTCTCAGGCTGACGTTTGAATCCGCCAGGTGCAGAATTGTCTAGTAAAGTCTTTATACAGTTCTTCTGCAAATCTCTGTTAACTAGGTCTGGTTACATCATGACATCTAACTGTGAGTTAATGATGGGTAAACCAGCTGCGAGAAACCTCCATAGTGGTGAGTGAGTTTCGGTCAGGACCAGTAAGTTTACTCATTACTATGAGTAACAGTTCATTAATGAAATCACATTCTGATAATGTGGATTTATTATTTATTATGCAAATGAGAAATAATGAGTTATTAGTTATTTGTGAACTCTTAGCAATAAACTGAATAACTGAACGTTATGCAAGATAAAAAGTTTGGACAAAAGTTTCAAATGAAGCGCAAATCGCTGAGGTTATGAAAAGTTCAGTGACAAAGATATTCTGTAGACACAGCTAGATGTTCACAGCCACTAATATTCAACAGGTGAAAAACTGCAACATGGCCTCCAAGGCATGGGATTTTTTCAAAACACACAAAACAGAACTGTTTTTGCAAGTAAATTATGAGATATGACTGTAACTACTAAGAGGTCAGCAGGGATTAAGTTCCTTAAAATCAAACTTTGGAGCATTACAAAGCATTGAAGGTGGCTGAGTAACAGGGGAAGTGAGAGCTCTCTCACTCTCACTGTTAGCGGGGCAGAGGAGGACTGCTGCACAGAACAGGGGTCAGAGGCAGTGGCCTTACTGGACTCCTGCCGTGTGACGCACTTTCCACTGAACACAGTTAAGATCAGGGATCAGGATGTGGACACCTCACAGCTGCACTGACAGGGTTTCCTGGTGATGGTAGACATGACAGCTTGATGAGAGGTGGTGCATCTGTCATGTAGTGCTGAGCTTGGTTGTTCTGTGTTAGGTCTGATGATCATATTCAGTACTGTTTTTCTTCTTCTTTTTTTTTTTACTGTACCTTTTGCAGAAGGAGAGTGAGTCCCTCTCTGGGGATTTTGATATGTGTAAGCACATAGTGTAAGAGCAATTCTGAGGTACTTTGAATGTTTTACTTTACTTCATACTTCATTTGCACTACATTCATAGGGAATTATATGAGATGTTACGATATAAAATCCAAAATAAAACATGTTAAAGTGAAAACACTTGTTTCCAATACGGTCCCAGAATGTTAAAAGACAGGGAAACATAACTCTGTGCTCTTTACACTCTAAGTATATATGACAAATATTGTTTTTTTACCTGTGTCGCCGATTATTAAACTACCCAACAGTACGGAAGGAACATTATAGCTCCACAACCAGATGAATGGCTGTTTACAGATGAATGCATCAGTAATAATAATCAAGCATTGTAATATATGATGACATAATACTGACAGGGGCCATTGTGTCTGCATAATGAGTACTTTTACTTTTGAGACTTCATGTATAGTTGTCTGATATTACTTAGTAACTCAAATAAACTTTTAAATGAAAGCCCTTTACTGGTAATGGAATATTTGTACTCTTCTCCTTACAGTAGGTTACTTCTTTCATCTCTGCTGATGATTGTGTAAATGAATAAAACTGAAATCAACGAGAGACATGTGCAGAGCTGTCTGTGATTATGGTCCCTGTATTTCTAAATGTCGATCAAAACAAACGATTTCTAAAATCGTTTGTTTTATATGTTATTATTGATGGAAGTTATGTATGAAGAGATGCAAGAATGATCTTAAACTACAGATATCAAAATTCAATTTAGGCAATGGTGAGTGATTTCACAACACCCCTTTTTTTTTCTTTTTTTTTTTTTTAAGTTTCACTTCAGGTGAAACAAAGTGCAGCTACAATTGGCCTAATGACCTCTGGAGCCAGAGGATTCCTGCTGAGAAAACCCTCTGACCGTCCTCATGTCAGAAACCAGACCCCTCCGCAGAAACAGCAACAAGCAGGCGGGAGTTGTGATGTAAATTTGACCCCAGTCGACACAGCAGCCCCCTCGTCCGCCATTTACACCTGAATGGGACGTTACCTTAAATCATGTTTACATCGCGAGTGTTTAGAGCGTTAAAAAGCCGTGGTAACCGTTTCAGACGAGCCTGGCGCCTGTTTGGACAAGCCTGCTGTGAAAGAACAAAAACCATCTTCCATTAATGATAATGAGCCGAGAGCGAGACGCGCCAAGCAGGTGGAGACAGCGACACACAGCACACATACACATACACATACATATACTGCATTATTATGAACACACATTGCTTTAATATGCACGTTTCATGGACATTTTTCTAGACAAAGTCTGAGGAGAGTAGAGAATTGATTTCAGAGTTTTTCTCATGGTAATGGACATAAAAACAAAGAAAAATGAATTTGGAGGCATCACATGGAAGAATTAAAAAAAAAAAAAAAAGAAAAATCCAATATATAGCAACAAATCTGATGGGACGTTTTGTGGCCAGTGCCATCAGATGTGTGTGCCATGAATAATCTCTTTATAGACTTGCCTGCTCTTTATTAAATAATATTTCTTATTTCTGCGTTTTAACCCACTACTCTGATTCTACTTATATTTTCATTACTGTTCATCAAAAAAGCCACATCTCCTCAGTTTGGTGACCACTGACAGCCTTTACATTAAGTTGTTGGTGCTGCTTGCACCCTCCCCCTGCAGTTTCTGTCATTTGGCTTGTTCTTTTCAGCAGATTACGTAAGTATCTATGGTTGCTATATTGCTCGTGTGTTTGTAATTTGCCTTCAACTTTTTTCCAGCTCCAGGATCAGGTGGGTTGGTCCGTTTGCGTCAGCCTGTGGGGGAGGGCGCGCACTTTATAGGTTCCTCTGCGCTGCTCTGTCTGTCACACAGCGCACTGAGCCCCGCTGCCTGCAGGAACCGCTTTATAAAGAGCTAAATTTACCAAACTTTACGTTGTTTCCTGAGCTCTCACAATTGGCCAGGCGTACCCGGGCAAGAGAGTTATAAGGTTGGAGGACCTCCTACCACTTTTAAACTTGTTCATGTCCTCGGAGCGCAGCTGCGGAGAGAGGCGACAGTGAAAACAGGCGCACAGACTCCGGCGCGGCTGCCGCTCTCAACACAACGCGACTTTGACAAGAGATAGTTGATATTTCAGCAAAAACCATGGCCTTATCCGGAGTGATGCTACCGTCCTTTTCGACATTCTCAAACCAAAGAGAGAAAACCTGGGAAAACGTAAGTTGATAATCTTGCTTTAAAATATGTGTGAGTTGAATTCGATTAGTTTCACCTGTTTTGATTTGGATGACAATATGAATATCTTGTAAACTGTTCCAACCAATGTTTGCTTTAAGAAAACATGGGAAAAAATGACTTATTTCTTTAAATTAAGAAAATAAAAGTCAGTAGTAGAGAGACGTGTCCAGCTGGAAATCATCTGCAGTGTCACAAACTTTTATTTGACATATTTCGTTTTACATATTATCGTATCTAATAATATGTCTTTCTTCTTTCAGAGGTGGAGAGGAGATGTGGACAAACTGGTCTCCAGCAGCTGCTCGATGCTTGAAATGGTACACAGCCTGGACAATCACAGCAAAAAGGACGACGAGGATCTGAGTAATTATTTGGATCTGGATTTTATTCTCGCCAACACAACTGGCGCAGACAGCGTGGCGGAATATGTGGGCACAGTTGAGCCCAACATGTACACAACTGGAAACTCGGTGCCATCCTACGCAGCAGACGACCATCGCTCCCCGCCGCCCCCGTACTGCGCCAGCCTCATGACAGAGCTTCTCCGCTCCGAGGGAACAAACAACTATGGCATTACGCGCAATCCCAGCGTTCAGGGGAGATTTTATGTCAACACTGCTCCTTTCCCCCGCCCGGAAAACATCAAAGTGGAGCCATCCATGGACAGTTACGGCCCTGTTTTGGGCATGGTGCCTCAGAGCTGCAGCAAAATCAAGCAAGAGGGGAACGTTTCGTGCATGATGTCCTTCGAGCAGCCCCGAGTGGCCATCTCCCCGCGGGCAGCCAGCAACATGACACCGCCTCTCAGCCCCGATGACCAGGGAGCTTCGGACTGCCAGGCACAGCTGTGCCAGCCCATGAACTTCCCTCAGAAGTATCACACGCCGGCAGCTTTCCCGCACCACCCTCAGGCTCCCCAGCTGCAGATGTCCTACCACGCTCCGCACACTGCCTTTGGCATGTACGATGAAGGACTCAGCCTGCAGCCTGGCGCGCAGAGGGTGATGCTCACGCCGCCCTCATCTCCCCTCGAGCTGATGGAGTCCAAACCCAAGAGAGGACGGCGCACATGGCCGCGGAAGCGCACAGCGACGCACACTTGCACCTTCGCTGGCTGCGGTAAAACTTACACCAAGAGCTCACACCTGAAGGCACATCTCCGAACTCACACTGGTAAGTCTGAGCTCATGTCCTGCTATAATTTTTCTGTGCGCAATTACGCACGGAGCAGCTCGGTGCTATGAACCAAATTTCCCGTTTCAGCACGTTCTAATTATTCCCCATGTTTTCTGTCCTCGCAGGTGAGAAGCCATACCACTGCAGCTGGGAAGGCTGTGGATGGAAATTCGCCCGTTCCGACGAGTTGACCCGTCATTTCCGCAAACACACCGGGCACAGGCCTTTCCAGTGCCACCTGTGTGAGCGTGCCTTCTCCAGGTCTGACCACCTGGCCCTCCACATGAAGAGACACATGTGAAGGAGCCCACATAAGAGACTTGGGGGTTCATGGGTGGGTTGTGTTATTTTTTATTGTGATCCAACTGATGTATTTTTATTTAAACAGTTCTACACATGACCAAAGTCGTTTTTTATATAATATTGAATTTAAAAAAAAGTTTTAGTGTTATTATTTTCTAATAATGTAGCTGGTACTACTTTGGTTCTATAAAAGCTTTAGAAAAGCTTTGTTTGCTTTCGAGCAGGCAGACCAGGAAGGGGCTGGCCCTGTATATACTACTCTTCTTTGACAGAACTGGAATGCGGTGTTTAACACAAGTGCCTTTCTATGACTCTGCTACTGTAAAACTCTTCTTGACAGAAAGACATGGCCACAAAATAGTACATGTTCTTGTTGACAGGAGTGAAGTGCACATACAGTTGCCTAACATGTGCAAAGACAATGTTTTATTTAAACTGCCTCAATGTCTGAATGGCCTGAGCTGTTGTATTTTGTTGCCTTCTTCCTGTATGTAGTTGTGGTTGACTTCTCTGGTGTGAAACTCTTGGATCCAGCCCCTCTGTACACTATCAGGGCTTGATGTCCTGTGCATTATTTTTTACTTAAATTTATATGAATATGTAAATGGATTTTATACTGTAAATGTGTATTTATTGTAAATATTAAAAACAATGAAATTGAACGTCTGACTCGGGAACTCCTTCATCTTTATGCATGCATAGTCATTCGAGGCTGATCATGTTCACACATTTATTTTAATGAACCGCATCCACCCACTCAACAAAACTATTTGGTACTGTGCTTACAGCAACTCAGGGTAGGTGCAGAAGACCTGCACACCATCAGATCAGTTACACTAAATAGGTTATACATGTTGCCACTGTAGACCCACTTTAATTTTAAAACATGGGCACTTGATTTCCACTGTGATGTTATGCAGCTGTGAGATGGAGAAGGGCAGCCACTTGTGGGCTTAGCCTATAAATACAAACACTCCATTTCCATAATTACAGAGTGAGCCAGGAGCCGTCTGGACAGAGGGGCACAGCAAACCCTCATCAGGGAGCCCTTAGACTCCCTTTCTGATGGGTAGAAATTATAGTAGGACATCAAAGGGCCTTAATACTACAATTACACAGAGTCACTCTGCACTACAGTTTCAAAGTATCTGAGTCTGTGCATATTATGTCTGCATGGTGTCAGAGAGTATTTGTTTCACCCGCATCAAAGGCAGAATTGAGCAGATGCATCAAAACCAGACGGCGTTCTTTTTGTTTTTCTAAGTCCATAAATATTAAACATTTTTCTTCAGATACGTGGTTGGTCTTTTGCATTACGACAATTTTAATATTTTAAACACAACTTACCCCTTTATCAAAAGTGGTGTCTCTCGTTCACAGTTATATTGCACTTCATGCATAACAATAGAATGTGTCTTAGATGGGTTGATCAACCATCAGCCAGAATTGACCATATTTAAAAAAAAGAAAAAAGAAAAAGAGGAAGTACACACTAGGTCAAAAATATCTACAGTGGTGGATGCAAATGTATCACTCTCATTTCACTTTTTTTTTGTTCCAATATCAATGCAGAACTAGAGAAATATAAACAATCCATCTTAAATGAAAAGAAATTATTTTAGAAAAACCTAAAAATATAATTACACTGTTGTTCCTCAAGGCCATTTGCTGTATGTTATTTCTATTTATGATAGAGGGTTAGGGTTAGAATAGATACAGTTATTTTGCAATCCAACAAATTATTCATGGCTTTGTGCATCATACAACTGACTCCCTTCTTTAATTTAAAATACAAGACCTACCATGTTCGAGGAATGTTAAAAATCACTTTTATTCAATTAAAAGTTGGTACAGTTTTGAGCAACCTAAAACTCAGAGGACTTTTTTTTTTTAATATAATCACATACATATTGTGCAATATTACGTTACAATGTTGATATGTAGATAAATAAGGCGTTGTCACTCTGTACATGTCCAGTAAGATCTGGAATATACAGTGCATACATTATGTGCCGAATAAACCTGATTAGTGTTATATGATTACAAGGAAGCGATATTTTAAGGCTTTTAAACAAATGTCCTCCGACGGGATCATAAGACATCAATGAACTGAAAAAAAGTAATGCAGAAAAGAAAATCTGACGGTTGATTTGAGAGAAAAGCTGGAAGCAGATGTCAGTGTGCATCAGCGATAATGTGAAAAGAGTCGCAGAAGAGGTAAAAAGGGCAAAGCGTAAGTGTAACAGCACCAGTAAAAACAATGTAGTTTTACACTTTTTTCCATTTTATCGAGGCTTTTAGTTGTATGGGAGTGCACACGCACACAAACACAAGCTGCTGACATCAGAGGGATGGTGCAGCAGCGCTCCAGGTAGACTGGACATTGTTCATAAGAAAGGAAGACGTCAATGATTATCACTAGCATCTTAATTATTGTAAATACAAGAGGCGACCGGTGATGTGGGGCTAAATCATATTCAACCAAAGCTTTGTTAGGACTAAAAAGCTCATCAGGGATTCCCAAAACTTCATATTAACACGTGTATGTATACCCTGTTGAGGGTTTGATTATATTCAAACATTTCTTCAATCCATGTACTTTAAGGCCATAAATAGCAGGTATGCAATCATAAATGGCAGGAAACACTTGTAACATTTGAAATAAAAATCGAAATTGTGCCATTTTCATGCCGATAACTAAACTCCAGTCCTTTAAGACAGGTTTGCTTTTTGAAGATGGTTTGCACATAAAACCGTTATCTAACAATATTTACATTACATGACTAAACACGGGCTAACAGGGTAGTCAACGCGTATGGTTTGACTTTCAACATGAATTTTTTTGGAGTAATTAAAGGTTATATAAAACAGTTTATACAGTGCATTTTACAAGTACTTCATACACCACAGATTCATTGCTTTTGTATACAAATAAAACAGTAAAATATTCTTAACATTTTTTGTTTGCAACAAACTGGCTTTTGGTTAAGGCAGGGTGATTAACCATAACAAGATATGGAGCTAGATATAGGTTGTAGTCGGGTACCCTGCTGGTTTGGGTTGCGTTAAATCGCTATGTTCTTGCAGGATGAAGCCAGGCTTAAATTCAAGTGGCTCCGTATTGTCCCTGATTATAGTTGCCATGTAGTTTGGGAGCAATGAACCTTAACTGGTTGCTAAATGTGGAGTCATTTGACACGAGTCCAGTCATGGCGGGAGAAACTCTAGTCTCTTACACAAATTGGTAACAGGGGCTGCTAGTCATATCGGGCCAGTGTCGGTGCTGTTGTCATGAGCCTGCGGACGGGAGGACTATGAGGCAAAACGAGGAGGACTGTAAAGATGTGGTGGGGCATGCCTGGTCAGGCGCTGGGCGAGTAAGCCCGGCTGAGAGCGATGGCGAGCTCCAGGTCCTGCTGCTCCTGGAGCTGCAGCCTCCTTAGCCTCTCCTGCTCCTCACGCTCGCTCTCCCGCTTGGCCCACTCCAGCTGCTGGCTCTCACTTCCAAACTAGGGCAGGGAAACAAACATTAGATGCAGACAAAAACTCAGGAATGCAGGCTGAAATGTCAACACAAAAAAAAGAGAAAAATCACTGGAGGAAAGCTGATGTAAAAGGAACGGTGGATGCAAATTTAAAATCAAGTGTTTTTAATAAGGCAGAATATCAAAAACTACGTCCATACATAGCTGAAAATGATGTGATATATCACAGTAAGCTGAGGAAAATAAATAAAAAATATAGACATTTAAATTTCACTTGGACGTCACACAAAAAAAAAGCCAAGAAAGCAGCACTAAAAGCTTAAGAAAACAAAAGATTCCTCCACAATACGCAGGGCTACATTGGTGCCATAAATTACTGCTGACATATGTCGTGTAAATATTCAGCACTTAGATCAATGCGACTGAGGATATACATTGAAAATAATCGTGCTCATGAATCACCATACTCAGATTATGCCGTGCGGACAGGTTTCTCACATGCAAAGGATTGACCACCACACCCTTGTACAGTCTTACCTTGACATGTTCAGATCCTGGCAGAAAAACAAAGATTACAACACAGAGCTCGATATAAAACAAAACAAAAAAAAAAAAAAACCCCAACAAATCCCTTTTGCAACTGTCATGCTGGCGAGAGGGAAAAATAAATACATGTCATGTCAAATGATACAAACCAGACACAAAAAGCTGCCATGCATCATCTCTCCACTTGAGAGCACGCTCAGCTTGTAGCCTATACACGATGGCAAAGAAGCGGAAGGTGGAGGACAAAGAGGCAGATTTACTCTGTTGTGCTCTGCTTCGAGGCATATCATGCTTTGACAGAGAATAAGCCTTTAGCTTGTAGTTCCAAAGTTGAAAAAAATGCTCCTCGTACGCTACCTGACCAGGCAAGTTAACGAACTCTCTGACTAAAAGTGTATTAATCTCGACATCCCCTCGAAGGCTGAAGCCAACAACAAGCATGCAAGTCCCTTTACCAGGCGGACGATGGGAACAGTCGACTAGATAGACACAAACACTGGAGACTGTCCAAGTCAGTCATGCAAATGTGTATTTTCCTTTCATACAAAGCCCTTAAAAAAAAAAGCTCTCAGATGTTCTGTCAGTTGTTAGTCAACAGCCAGTAAAATCAGCAGTCCTGTGATTGCTTTTTTAAAGTCAGAGTGAGGGGGGAAAGTTAAAAGATGGAGGCTCGGTGACAGAGAGCTGACACCTCCGACCCTTCAGCTCTACGGTCTGAAGAGTGAGATCAAGAGATGGGCAGCTTAAGCGGACAAAGATACATGTTCCAACAGAAAACTGTAAGTACACTACACTTACAGAGGCAAAATCTGCAAAACCCACAGGACAGTCTTTGGACGTTTTGCTCGAGTCTGTCGTAACAAAAGAGTCTTTACTGTCTGCTGTGGAGCAAACGCTCTGGAGTGGCTCTGACGCTGCCGCACTGAGCATACCTACTGGAGAAGGAAGGACATTTAAATTAAAATCTAATTACCAAATCCATGTAACAAAAACAGTTTTGGTTTTGACTATAGAGGCTAACAACCGTTAACCCCTTGGGAAAATAACCTGACACATTAAACACTTGTGTAATACGCTATTGCTAAATTCTTACAGGAAGCCAAGAACTTGAAGCTCACAGTCGTCACCCAGGGGGCATATTGGTTTAAAAAAGGTGCTAACCACATTTTTTGAGTAAAGCTCACTGATGCGTTGTAGCTAAACAGGCATAGTGTTGCTCTTATGGAAAACAAAATTGCAAAAGACTGACCCACCCATATTTACAGTAAGCTTTGGAGACATTTCCTATATTGATGTCACTGTCGTCATCTGGACAGGCTTGTGCATCTCTCTTATTTGCACCAATGCCACAAAAGTTGCATCTGCAAAGGGAAAAGGCTTCCAGCAAACAAATCATTTCCATTATCTAGTCAAAAACACCAGGGGGATTTAGATTGAAATCAAGTTTCATTTATTGCTCTATTAAAATACCGAGTTACTTTTAACACTTCTTCACAAATGCCTGAAAAATTGCTGTGACACACTTTTCAACAGTACCGTCCAACAAAACTGGTTGTGCAATTGACCCTGTGATGCAGGCATTCAGAGAGTGGGCTTCTCACTTCCCCATCACGTAGGAGGCACATCTCTGGGGTTAGCTCGTTGTCTTAACAGTGGCTACTCATCTCTACCCTTCTCTGTGTGATGAAGCAAAGGGGAAGACCAACTTTCTCACGCTGTGGCTTCTGCTAAAAGAGTAAGTGCAAGGTAACAGCGGAAGGGCATGTGCTGGGCAAGGACTGAGAGGTGTGTGTGACTTCACATACACACAAAAGAACAAGATGAACATGAGGCTAAACATATCCAAGCGGCTGAGATGAGTGGTTCTTAATCTCACCACACTGTTGCATGCAAAAAATAAAGGGATTCCTTTATAACACTAACAGAGCGACTTCACTTTGAAACCCATACTACTACTACTACTATCACCTCCATATCTCTGCCAGCAGGTTTCCTGCTGCAACTTCAAAAGATGAAATTACTTTCTCTGCACTTTCACAGCTCAATAGGGAAGTCATTTTTTCAGTCACAAGGAGCATCCAAAAATGTTGTCGCGATTACATTTTTGTAACAAGTGGCAAAGATCAAATGAAAGTTGTACTGATTGTTATCAGTACAACTGACATGATTGATGATAAATGGTATTCATTTCAACCTGTTTAAACCAACATTACATGTTGATTATGAACATCATTAAGCCATTTATGTCAAGTTAAGCAGCAAGCACAGTCACATACGCGCGCTTATATACACACATAAAATCAGGGCTTACCGTAGGGAGGTGCAGGCCGGTTAGGCACATTTTTCTTTGATGGGAGCACAGGGTTGTCCGACTTCTGTTCACACACCAGGGAAAAAGACAAAAAATAAATAAATCCCTCAACTAACACACAAAATAATGACTCCAACAGAAACGTCAGCCAAAATCTAAAGCCTCTGGCCTCGAACCAGAGAGACTGTTTTCATAAATGTGATGAACTGGCAGAAAAATAAGAAATCAGTCATGATGAGAGTAAAATTAACAACACAGCTTTCTACAGCTTAAGTGGAAAATGATGCTTTATGGTGCAACTGGTTCATAACTCCCAAGAATCCCAGGAGCTTACCTTTGACATCTGACTAAAGTCAGCAAATCCACCCCCCTTGCTTCCAAAAGAGTTGCTTCCAAAGGGGTCCGCTGTCCCAAACACATCTGTGACAAGAGTACATCGAAGCGCATTTGGAACATTTGAATACGTTTATGGAAAGAGCCACAGACTATAATGAAGTTCAGCCTCAAACCACACATTTCAAAATCATCTTTACATCTTGCTTATTCTGAAAAGGCCTGCGTGCGATTTCCAGAGGAGGGAATGTGGCATGACCGTTTAATTTTCCATGACATTTCGCAAAAACCTGGAAAGCAAGAGGTTTTGTTTAACCTGACGTATGCAACTGATCAACTAATTAAAGGCGTCAGTTGGCGCACTGTTAACCAGAACTGTGCCCGGGTTGTTTTGAAGCTCAGTGGTATGCTGTTTAATGAAAAAAAAAAAAAGGCAAACTGCAGATGGCTACAGTGAAAAAACAAAACATTGTAATAGAATATGTTTGTTGTGAATGTGCAACCACAAGAGACCCCATTCATGTGAAGTACGCAGTGTTTTTCTTTGACGCACAGTAACTCAGCTCAGGTCTACAGTTGCCTCTGTGTTCTTCTGAAGGTGTGTAGCATGGCAGAGCACTGGCCAGGGCCGGCCACTAACTTAAAACAACTTCTGTAGCGAATGAGGCAGAGCAGTTCAATAGCAGCAGATATAAAGACTTGACAGAGGCAGGAGTGAACTGGTTAAAAGGAGTGGCAGTGTATTCTAGTAGAGCAGGACCAGCAGTCACAGAGTTTCTGTTGTGCTTGGCTCCTGCAAGCCTCCTGTTTTTCCAGGGTAGGGGGGAGTATTTTTAGTTGGCCAGTAGTTAAATGCGTAGGTACTCGACTAAAAATAGCCCTAAACCACAGGAAAAATTGAAGCCACAGTGAGTAAAAATTGTTTGCCCCTCATGCCCCCAAAAATATAATCTAAATCTAACACGTCACCCAGAATGGCAAAGAATGACTCTTTGAGACCAGTTTCACAACAAGGACGTTCTCTCATGTTCAGATGTCGGTTAATAGAGTCACATTCTGGGAAATCTGCATGGAAAATCTGTACATATTTAGTGCAGGGATGACTATGCATTCGCGCTTTAATTTGACATGGTACAGTACGTTCTACTGTGGCACCATCATATTCACTACCTTCCTGACTACAGTAACTGTGAGGAGAAAGAAAATAATATACAGCCAACATATTCAAGATGACGGCAAAAAAACATAAATGAAAAAAATAAATCTTTGACAGCATGTTTTGGTTGTGTCTGAAAAAAGTACGTATTACAAATAGACTTCACAGACTACTAAATAGGTTCAACAGAACTAGAATTACCACCTCGCGGTTGTTTGCCTCTGCCAACCAGCCAAGTTGCAGGAAATATGGTCACAATCTCCCCTTCCTGAGTTACAGCGTTGAATAATGGCCAGAAGTGTTTTTGCAGAACATAATGACATCACAGTGAAATTGACCTTTGAACATTTGGATATAAAATGTCATCACTTCATCATTTTATCCTATTGGACATTTGTGTTAAATTGTGTCATGACTAGCATAATAGATTTGTGAGTTATGGCCCAAAACGTGCTTTGTGAGGTCACAGTGACATTAACATTTGACCACCAAAATCTAATCAGTTCTTCATTGAGTCCTAGTTAATGTTTGTGCCAAATTAGAAGAAGTTCCCTCAAGGAGTTACTCGGATATCGCGTTCACGAGAAGAGGATGGACAGACGGACGGACAAGGCATAAAAATGTAGCATTTCTGACTTTTCCCTAAAGGATATAAGAGCAACAATTTAACTAAATATTTTCACACAGATAAATATAACCTCAACACAATCTTTACATTTACAACTCGGGAAGAGACAGAATAATGTGAATTGACTGTGCACTGTTGTTTGTGAGCAGCAAAGTACCTGAATCCTTCGGTTTTGGGCTGTTTGATGTGAAGGGGTCACCGCTGCTGAAGGCACTCGGCTGGGAAAAACAAAGAAGCGAAGCGCGAGTACCATAAGCGAGCTATTCAAAAGATCTTGTTTAACATACACACACAATGACCACATCTGCATAACCACCAGAAATCTTTCTTTGTAGTGCTGGTTTACTTTTCCAGGTATCGACAATGGTGAAGACATGTCAGAGCTTGTTTCTACAGTATCAGCACTGACAGCAACCATAGCGAGTCACTGAACACAGGAAATGAAAAATCATTTGATTTTTACAGCAAAAAAGAAGAGGTGTTTGATACCTTTGCGGGCAGTGTGGGTTTTCTACCAAAGGGGTCTGAGGATCCAAACATGTCTGACTTGTCTGTCCTCTTAAAAAAATCGTCAGATGAGGTGCCTTTGAAGGGATCACTTTCTTTGAAAGGGTCTCCTCCAAATGGATCTAGAAAAAGGACAAGACAGTCATCTTCAACCTCTGGCAAGAAATTATTGTTATTGCAGGTTTCTTTTTTTTTCCCCACAGTATGAACTCTGGACTGACAGACTGGAACATACAACAAACATTTGAATTTCACTTCAAACATCCCAATTCGGCACCTTATAAAGTATTTACAAACGCTTATTCACAGGGACACAATAGGCCTCATTCACCAAAATCTTCTTAAGTGTTTTTCTTAAATTCTTTCTTAACATGTCAGCACTCAAATGTGCCTAAGAGTGCTCTTGAGTGTGCGTAAACTCTGTTCTTACCTAAGAACAAATCCCAAATCAGAATCTTCGTAAGTGGGTTTTAAGAAGAAATTTCTTCCTAAGAATGGTTGGTGAATGAGGCCCATTGTTAGTGTGGGTGATCACCAGATAGCATCAGCTAGCAGAGCAGGGAATCATCTTGATCCTTACAGAAATACAGGAGTAGATGATAAAAAGATACAAGAAGGCATTCAGACCTTTGAAGGGGTCAGACTTGAAGGGGTCTTCTGTCTGGAAGGGGTCAGGTGGGGGCTCCTTAGCACTGCTGTTGTTAAACATGGCTATCTTTGACTTGAAAGAATCGTCCTAATGAAAGAACAAATAAAAAAACCCCACAAATGAATAAATATTTGGAAGATTAGTGAAGTCTTGACAACGAAACAAAAAATAGGACTTTTAGTGAGTATTTTAAGTGACAAAGCAAAACGCAGTGAGACAACAATAAAAGAGAGCATGCCCACTTGCACAGACTCAAAACAAAGAGACGTTTCTGGGAAATATCTCTTTGGTATCTGAACAGCAATAAACAGGTTAATTAGGAGGAGGTGACATCAAAAGGGCCACTGCTAAGATTGAAATGCTTCTCAGTTTCTCCATCCTCCTTTTTGTCTATTCAGGGGGTAGGAACCAAAACCAGTAGCATGGTGAGAGATCCAGGCAAAACTTCTACATTAGATATAAGACGATATATTCATCATCTCCTCACCGCACTCCTGAAGCCTCCGTTCTGCTTCTCAGCAAACCCTTCACTTAGGTCGGGCATGTTGCTGAAGTTTCCTCCGTTGATGTCACTCAAAGCACTGTTGTACTGCTCAATGGTCTTGGTCAGCTCCTGTTGGCTGTCCTGGATCAGCGACAGCTTACTGCGAGCCTAAACACACACAAAAGCTATCTGTTATCTGATTCCATTAAGTATTGTACTATGTGACTTCACTGTATCATTTTCAGTGGGTTTCAGAGCTGTTCAACACTGGAGAATTTCCTGTCTGGCAGGAAGGGGTAAGCTACTTTGAATTCATGCCACGTTTTCAAAAGAAAAAAAAAAGAATTTCAGAATTTCAGAATTTCGATTCCTCAGAGATTTCCCTCCACTAACGGTAGAAAACAGGCTTCCTAAAAGTCTCAGCAGATTGAGGAATAATTTTCAGCTACTTGTGTAAGTGGTGGTTAGTGGTTAAATTGATGAAAAGAATAACCTTAACCACTATGATCCAACAGTTTCACTTCAGTGTACTTCAAAGCATGCTAAATACCAATGCTAAACAATGGTCACAGAAGTAAAAGGAAAATGAATGTTTCCTAAAGTGAGACTACTGTCATAAAAACCATCTCCAGGAGCATAGAATCAAACAAGTTCAAATTCCACAGAAAGCACAAGAACATACAAACCTCTGTACCTCCAAGTCATTATTATACTTTGGCATCCAGAGCTTAATTAGTTTTGAACTAAAATATCTTAGCAATTTTATATTCGTGCCACACAGCACTAAGCTAATCAGTTAATGGCCCAAAGCGGCAGAACATCCTCATGTAACCTGTTGTCTCTCCATCTGTACTGACCTGGTTGATCTCCTCCTGGGTGGTTTTGAGGGACTTGACGATGCTGTCCAGCTGGACGCGACCGGAGAGCAGGCTCTGCTCCAGCTGGGCCTCCTCCTCCTGCAGCCGACTCAGGTCTGCCTTGGTGCGGCTCAGTTCGTCCTCCTGGCTCAGGAGGTCGGTCTCCTGAGAGCGGATCTGGCTCTGCAGGGACGAAATCTGGAGCAGAAAGAAAGATTTTATATTTGTAGATTCATCGATTGCGGAACAGTTAAATTGCTAGACATTTAGAAATTACAGCTTTAACTCAGATTTTGGTTTGCTTGTTAGGACAGATCAAAGCGGTGCTATTTTAGAGCTTGTTGTCAGGGAAAACACAGTGCAGTAAGACAGTGGTCCTCATTATACCTACTTTTAAATTAGACATACTTCTTAGTTACGTGGCCTCACAAAAAACAGCAATGCAATACTTCACATCCTAATATGTATTTCATTTCCCCAAAAGAGAAAGTCAGCAAAACATAAACAGCTGCACTATTTTAGAACACTCAGTGACTGTTTGAAAATAATAATCTGCAGCAACTTTTCTTCAAAAAAATCTTAACCTCAACTGACCTCACTGTTTGACTGAGATCTGAATATCTGCTTAATACGAACATTTCACCACAATAAGTTAAGAACTGCATGTTTCACTATAAGTGCAATATAAAATACAGCAAAATTTGTTGTTATTTTATGAATGAGTCAAGTCTCTAACCTTTTGCGACTCGTCCTGGCACTTCTGCTTGACGTCGTTGAGCATCCCTTCAAGCTTGGAGCGCTGCTGGTCCATCTCCTCCAGACGTTCCTGGGCATCCTGCTTTTGGGACTCCAGGTCCTGCAGACTGCTGCTCTCCCTGTCCAAGTCATTCTGCATGTCCTGAAGGTCCACCAAACACACACACACGCAATGCACACGCACACACACACACGCAACGCACATGCACACACACACACGCAGGTGTTTGCTGGGTAAATCATCATCTTTATTCAGCTATTAACTCTTCTAGTTCACGTCCAGATTGTGTAACTTGAGAGAGAATCCATTTTCTACCACGCATTTCATATTCCAAGCACTGAGACTGAATGCTAATCATGAGTCATTCATTAAACACAAGTTGCACATTAATTATCATGTCCCATAAATGGAATATTTTTAAATTGTTTCTGCCTAGCCTTACCTGAACTTCAGTGTTTTGCTGCCTGATGGCATCCTCCTTTTCTCGTATCTCTTGCTCCAGGATGAATTTCTCTCTATAGGTGAAGCACATGGGAGAAGAGCAAGGGCAGAAAGTAAAAAAAAAATTCTGTTATTATGCCCTAAGAAAATGCCTATGTTGGCAATATGGACGGATTAAAGAGCAAAAACAAATGGCATTTGTAAATTATTTGCAGTGGGTTTGTTTGTTTTTTGAACAGTGTCTCATAAAAGCTCCGCTCCACTGGATAGTCATCTTTCTTGACACTATATACATCGTACTGATGAGGTGAATGTAACTTATTTTGTAGTTTGAACATGGACATGCTCAAGATGAACAAAGAATGAGCATTAGATAAAAAACAAATGATGGTGGATCTGTTCCATCTGATCAGTATTCTTTCCATGACAAAATGCAGACTTACAAAAACCATTTGAAATATTGTCAGGTACTTCAGATCTGTGTTATGTTTAGTCCAACTGAAAACTTTCAATTAATGTAACATACCCTAATAAAGTATTAGCAAGGCTCCATGGTGATGTTTTCTTCACTAAGTCTCACTTGGACTAAAAAAAATCTGAAAGGGGCACTTGTTTAAATAAAGGTTAATATTATTTAATAAAACTATAACTAATGGTTTAAAAGATCTTTGATCTTGAGCCTCGCCATCACCTCACTGCAACCACCCCTCCTTTTTCTCAGAGGAAGTGAAACAAAGCGATCCTCCTGTTACTCAGGGTGCTCACCTCTGCAGCTGAGCTATTTCCTGGCTGAGGTCATCCAGCTCTTTGATGCCTGTCAGCTCTGCCGACCCCGTGGAGCTGGTGCTGTCCTGAGGCCAGAGACATTGAGACAAATGAGTGAGAGAAAAGTAAAGTTGGGCAAGAAGGTACGATCGAGGACGTGAGGAGACGGGGGGGGTGAGAACAGAGACGAACACAGAGTGACAGGGAAATGGATGAAATAGATGCCATAAAGACATTAGGAAAAATGTTCTAATAGGCAAAAGGGGACAAAAAGGAGGGAGAGGGAGAGCAGAGGGGACATGAGAGGTACGCAGGGGGAGAGAGGAGCTCCCCACTGATATGTCTAACAAAACAAAAGACACAGGAAGGAAAGACAAACACCTCGCACAGCTAGGGAAGGAGCAAGAGAGCCTGACAATACATGAATGAAGAGAAATGCACACAGGACAATACAAAAGAATTTAACACGACAGTGAAATTTTTCTTATGCATCAGTGTTCAACATATCAGGTCTATAACTAGTTAGTTTCAGGTTGAATCTCAGGAAGGAAACTGCGTGAAATAGCTATTTGTTGGTAATAACAATGCTTGTGTAAGATGTGCAAAAGCTCATGTATTTGTTCAGTATTTCTTTGAAAGGTCTGTTAATAATAAACGCAAAAAGAGCAAAATCTAGAGACACTTAAGGCAGCTTTTTCAAAATGTTCGTGTTTCCATTGACCATGAAAGTGAAAAAAAAGCAAATAACCAGTTTAATAATGATAATAATGTCTTTTTTCAGACTTTTTCAGAGCATGGCACTTTTTTTGATGGTCTGATGCTAAAATAGAAGAATTTTATCCAAAAATGACAAATGCCAATAAAAACTGAAACCTTACAAATACATTTTGGCTCTAGAATTAAACATTTTATGGCTTTTTAATGTTTTTTTTGTTTTAAAGATAATAGGCACCTCCTTCAATAACTGGTTGGCCAAAGCATAATACCTTTACTCCTGGATATTCTATATTTGTAAACGACTAATAAATGTTACATTTTCTGGAATTATGAGCAAGTATACTATAAATGGACATCAGCTGACATTATTTGCCGTCATGGACCATTGCTGATGACACTACAGCAGGTGGCAGTGTGGGGCCTTAACACGGGTTTAGAACAGACACATTTGTGGAAACTCCAAGAACGTATTGAAAAAAAGTGAACATCTAAGAAATTCTGTATTTCCTTTTGTTGGGAAAAAAAAATTATGAAACTTGATACTTAATTAAAAGGAGTATGGTCCTGTTTACACCTGGTGCTTCAGACTAAGAAAGAGAATATATGACAGAACAAAAGCGCCACCTTGTGTCACAAAGCTCAACTACTCACTCTGCGCATATTAGCTAGTACAGCAGGTTCAGGTCTCAGAGAAGACAAAAGCCCCACATAGCTCTGTTAGAAAGGATAGAAAACAGCTCAAAAACAGAAAAAAGCATAAAAACAGTTTTGCAAGGTAAAGCTAAAAAGCCAGAGAGCAGAAAATCAGCATTTAAAATGCATGTAGTAGCAGGGAAACACAGGCTCTTAAAGTGCAGGTGAAAGTGAAAATTTTGGCTTTGGAAAATAGGAAGAATTTCAATAAGCTGAGCTAAAGTCAGGACTCACAGGGCCAGCCACTGATGTCGCCGTCCTTTCTGAGGGAGGAATCATGTCTGGAGTGAGAGCGGAGGGAGGGTCTACACCTTTGATGACCTTCTGCTGAATAAGATACATGGCCAGAGAGAACTGCTCCCGGGTCAGCTTGCCCGTCTGTTTAGTGTCAGCCAATCCCCTGCAGACACAGCGGTAAACTTCACTCAAAAGATGATATACTGGATACTATGTGAGAAAATCATACACAGCATACACAGATAAACTCGTGCTCTGAACGTTTACCAGTTTAACTGTTTCCACTGTCTTATTTTTGCATCTTATGTTGCACCCATCTCCTTGGGAAAATGTAAAGATACCTACTGTCCAAAAGAGGGTGCTGTGGCATTAAACCATCTCAGACTTGCTCTACATGAGTGTGAATAATTCAGCACTATTCAGGTGTGAATGCACTAGTGAGACATTCAACACATAAAAAATACTCTAAACAATGAATTATGTTTTTCCATGGTTCAGGAAGGACTAAAGGATGTGGCAATTTAGTTTAATTTATGATAGAATATGGCCTTTTGACTGGCATGTGGAGAACCTACTGAATATGGGAGTGACATTTAGGTTAATGCTGTACCATTGGCCTGTCACATGGACACAGATTACACAATAGTATAAAGTATATATTATAGTTAAGATACTGTAACCAAAATATAACCAAAATCTTTAAATCCATTGTTTTCAACCACTACACTGCATTTTCTTCTACATTTAAAACCCTGTTGCATATTTGCTGCATCTTTTCATCACTTGCACTTTAATTTTCATTTCATTTTATTTTTGATGCCATTTCAAAACTTCATGACATCCCTTCCTCTTACTTGTTAAGAAGGTAATGTATTGATGTGATTGAAATTACTTTAACCTTTTTGCTTATTTTTTTTTTATTGCTGTCGAACATATACAGTACAGTCTATAGTGGCTGAGAGCGCTCTGCACTACAATGCTCTTCAACCTGAGAAAGCATATGCAAATAAACACACACACACACATGCAAATAAACAAAACAAAGCAAATTAAGACCAACCCTTCACCACTTGACCAACCAGCATTTAAAACTGCAAATAAGCACAAGTCAATAAAGAAACACATTCAACTACTTGACCACATATACATGATATATAGATACAACCAACGAATAAAGAAAACACAAGCAAATACAGAAACGCTGCATGTTCTACAGAACACAACAAATTTCTGGGGACCATAAAACAACACATACATCGACCACTCAATCAATCAATGGTGACTGAAAATTAGCCAACAATGATTATTTTCCTTTTAAACATTCTTATGGTGTGATTTTCTCTAAACATCTGGTGTGACGCTTGTTCTTGTTGCTCTTTCCTCAGTTTTTATTGCGCCCCGTAAACTTCTATTGTGTAAAAACTCAGTTGTGTTTTTATGTTGGCAGCGTTTTTCTGCTTGTGTTTTCTTCAGCTGCAGTGCATTGAGCTTCTCTCAGCCACTGTAATATTCTCAGTTTATGAAGAGTGATGTGAAAGTAATGAGGAAAACATCTGTAAATAAATGTGATTTGAACTGAGCTGTGGTCTCACCATATCTGCGCCAACATTGTCTGGGAGAGACTGGACTGCATGAAGATCTCTATCACCTCGCTGCCAGTGACAAGGCCGTCATTGTCGGAGTCTGTTTGCTTGAAAATGTCATTATATCTCTCTCTGTCAGCCACCGGCACCACCCAGTTCACCGCTGGCTGGAATGAACAAAGGACAATATTAATGTGATTTCAGATGAGAGGGACAACATCTGCTACAGACTCACTGTTTTTCTGTGTAGGAAATGAAGAATACTCTCAGCCAAATGAGGAAAACATTTACAATAAATACCAACGGGTCTTGCCAAACATTTTCCAACAATCCTCCCCTAGATGGAAACACATTGGTTTGCTCATCAACTGTTTACCACAAACACAATGACGATTTGTCGCTGACATATCACACACATACTGGGAATGGTAGTGCATAAAATCTTAGAATAAAATCAGATTAGCGTAACTGAATGAGCAAATCCAAGTGAGAATTGTAGCACATATACATATATGGTGTATTATTTCTGTACAAGGGTCCCTACAAAATATTGTGTGGACATTCTACATTTTTGTTTTTGGTAAGAAATTATCCACTTGGGCAAATTAAAATAGCTTTTAAAGAAGGGGAAAAGGACATTCATTGAAAAAAAAAGGAGGACACTACAACAAGTGTCATGACAGCCACATCAGGTGATCATGGTACAAGTGTGAAAAGAGAACCTTGCCTCTCTTCCCTTTCAAGGAAACCTGTTTCTCCAAAAGTCATGGGTGAAAGATCCCTGCAGCTATAACACGTGGGTAGAGAGAAACACACTGGTCTGTGCACAATGGTCACAACAATGTGGCAAAACAAGTCCATCCATAGCAACAAAAAATGATTAATACATGAAATGCTGGTTTCTTTAAACTCTGTGCTTGTGACGTTTATCTAGGGAACGCAAGGGGAAATAAATGTGCTGCTTTTTCCATGAGGATTTAGTTCACACGGTTTTATGTTTTATTTCTTATTAAAAAACTATCTTCATTGAGAAAGTTACTCATACATCCTGAGATTACCCTGGACTAGAAGTCGCTGCATTTAGAGCCACATATGAAGCATGGATAAGCATGTATTCTTTTTTAACAAATTCCAATCAGTAAGGCAGCTGTAGTGCGAAACTGCCTAAGACAACATTTTTTTTTCTGTACTAGATTAAAGTACATCTTTTTTTTTTTTTTTAAATAAATAACTCAATATTAACGTTTATGAAGTTTCATTATAATTATATCTGAAAATGAACCTATACAGAATTCTGTTGTCTAATTATTCTGAAAGTTAATCAAACTTCTTTGTTTTACAAGAATGAAGAGTTAATTGCTGTAAGTAGTTATGTAGTATATCACTGCATTGAATTTTAGTTTGGTTATTCTATGTTTATGTTTTTATATTTGTATGTGTGATAGCGTTTCTATATTTGGATGTATAGTCATTTATTAATTATAATATTGTGATATTAATTTTAACAGAAGTACTTCATCACTCATAGACTAATTAAGGCAGTGATGCAGTCATAAGACTTACAACGACACCTCAAGAGAACCACAGGTGAGGAGGTGAGGGGACATACCGGTGAGCTGGATTTGAAGGAGTGTTTTGGAGAGAGGTTGACCGTACTGGTGGTGAGGGGACTAGCGCTGACCAGAGGAGGAGTGCTTCGTAAGGTATCTTTGAGAGGAGCCGGGCCAGCCATAAACCCTGACAGAGCAGGCAGCACAGCCACGGCACCTGGCAGCGCACCAGCAGATTTCTTCCTTTTAGATGGGGGGATGAGGGAAGCAGGTAAGCTAGCTGGGATGGGCTCCTTCTCCATGGCTCGATACACAAGATGCATGGCCTAGAAAGCATGGAAATCATTCCATTTTTTTTTTAATGTATGTTGGTAAAAACAGCTTTAAAAAACCAAAACAAACCAAACAAAAAAAACCTTTTTAATTTTCATTATAATAAGTATTTGCTTCCCAGTATATGCTGTAGTAGAGCGAAGCCAGCATACCACTGTGAATTCATCTTTGTCCAAATGTCCATCTTTATCTACATCACTTAGGTCCCAAATCTACAGAAACAGCAAGTAAATGACAAAATGAGAATGATTTAGTTGCTTTGAATTAACACTGGTTTGTATGTGTTTATCATTTGAACGTGTCATATCACCTTTCCTAACACATCCAGAGGTAGCTTGGAGTTAATCAAAACTGGCCTGACTTTATCCCCGGGGAGGAGACCCTTTACAGGAGACAGACTCTCGAAAATGCCTTCAAACTTCCCTTTTTCATCAGGCTGGGAAAGAGAAAAAACACTCAAGTTGACAAGATGACAAGTTTGATTTTCTTACACCCTCAAGAATGTTCTTGAAAACACTATGAACTCACCCTTATTGCCCACTGTGAGTCAGGCCCTGCTGTTGAAACACTTAATAATGGGCTGTTAGTGTCTTTCTGTAAAAAAATAAAGTGAGGATTAGATACTGACAGACGGGGCAGACTGACACTAACAAATGCATGAAGACGAGGAAAAGACCGTAAGAAAAAATCCATTTCAACACTTACAAATTTGGGTGCAGCTAAGTTTTGGTTGAGGTTGTTAAGGCTGATGTCATTTCCACCCTGTGCTGAGGCCACCAGTCTCAGGGCTATGAAGAAACCCTTCAAAAGAGGAAGAAAGCAAGGCAAGTCTGATGTTCACATCAGCACGTCAGCATCAACGATCACAGCAAATTTACACAGAAATTTTGTGTTACCCTCTTATCCAGGTAGCCTTTTCTTTCTGAATCTGCCAAATCCCATATCTAAGAAAATAATAATTTAAAAAAGTTATTTAGATGCTATTAACTGAATATATGAGCATAGTTTGGTGTATACATGTCCGTGTGTTTGACACCCACCTTCCCCAGTGTACCGTCTGACAGCCCTGACTTCTTAAGGAACTGAGCTGCATCTCCAGCTGATATTTTGCCTGTGTTTCCTGGATCCAGCTACAAAGAATAAATAACAAGGTATTAAGTGGACACAGCACACACAGCTGTACCGGTTGATTGATTTTGTACGACAGATAATATTTATCTGAATGAACACTCGAGGAGCTAGCGTGAAAATCACAGCAGCAACCAGGAGCTTACCTGTCTGTAATAGGTTTCATAGGCTGTGTTTCCACTTGATAACTGAAGAAGCAGACATGAAAGAAATATAAGACCAGCTTAGTTAGAAATGAGACCGTGAGCTAGCACACACACATACACGGCAGTTAGAAAGCCAGACATGGCTGTTAGGAGGCTGTAAGAGGTGCAAGTGCATAAACATAGCATTGGTCGCTAACGTTAGCTAGCTAAATGTTTATTTTTGTTCAGTTTAGCTACTATGTGTCTATGTTTCGCTACTAAGGTTACCACTTTCCTTGCAATGGTAGCTTCCTTCTTCCATTAAAACGTACAGTAACTTTGCTATCCCTACTAAATCTAGCCAACCATGTTAACTTAGCTGACAACGAAAGGTTGCTAATACGATTCCCAAGGCCAATATACACCACAGCTTATAAAGCAGTGATGTGGTGAAAGCTTACAGCCACTGTCACTGTCACTCGATTATGATCAATACTAAAATTAAGAGACTTTTCTTGAGATACTGGATGTTCTTACCTGACTGAGAGTCATGAGCGCCGCCATATTTCCTGGTGTCTCGGGAGCGCGCTTACGCCCCTTAGACGAACAGGGACGAGCGGGGACAGCTCGAGGAGAACCGTGGTTCCGGTGGGAGTACCGTCTCCACCACAACACCGCCACAATAGCAGGGGTACAGTCTGGGTCAACCGCGACAGAGCGATTATAATGCGGAGGTGGTTTTCAATCCTATTTAAATTGCTCTGGTGTTAGTTCTTAGTGACTGAGTCAGCGCCCTGGTAGAAGAAAATAGCGTATGACGAGGCACAGGTGGTGACATTAAAGATAGTGTACACACATTGGTTTAAATGGAGAGTCTTGCTGTACCCTGCTTAGATTATTTAGGCTAAATGTAACCAGTATTATTCTTCGTTTTGCAAACTGCACAACAGTTCTTATTTGATTTTGTTTTTCATTGTTTAAACTGATTTATTTTTTGATAGATATGCAGAGTTTTATCAGTAGGAAAATGGGAATTTACTGTAAGTGCAGATTGATGTGTGACATGGTAACTTAATTAAAAAACAAAAAATGACGTTCAGTATTTTAAATGAATACTTTGAACTTTAAAATGAACAACAATGAATGGACCTCAATAGTCTCCCCTTGTACAAAGTTTGCACATTTTTGTTTGACTAATGTTGTACCTCTTTGTTGTAAATAGAGTAAATTATTTCCCCAGAATGCTCTACAGACAGGCTGTTGTGTTTGGTAATTTAACTTGCATATATATTTCTGTTTTCCTTTTCTTTGTCGATTGTAATACAGCGTTGCTGAAGTTGTCTTGTGTGTTCATACCAGGTTTGTACAATAAATTCTCCCTAATTTCTCTTAAGAAAGAGCAGGGTTATTTTTCTGCTGATATTGTAATGTGGTGCATATTCCAAAATAAAACTGTGACTAATCAAATTACCACAAACAAACTGACACGCAGTAAACCTTGATATGGGCAGTATTCCAGCAGCAGTATGGTTTCTGGGGCTCAGGGCAAAATATAATGAGGCTGCCATGTGTGGTCTGCTGTGTGCTTTAGACCTGATGTTTTGCGTGCAATACACTGCTTACACACTGCAAATAGAGTGGGAGGAACTGGGACGTCCACAGCGACCCACAACCCAAGTCTATTCCAGGGTCTCATAGAGGGTTAATGAGGCCCTTGGAAACAGTGCAAAACAACAGATTTCAGAAAATTTTACAAATTCTTAATTGGTGTTTTACTCTTATTAGGGTTTTAAGTATACCCTCTGCAAAAATAGACAGACGTTATAGAGACACCTTTATCACTATACAGCCGTTTTCTTTCAGCGGAACAAATCTACAATATCTAACTCTTAACATAAGTCTGTCTGTTGATTTTGTTGGCAATCGCTCATCCGATCGACTTCGTGGGTGTATTGTTGATGAAACAAGGAAGTGCAGTGTCGACTGTGAAGTTTTTTGGACGAACTTTCATCCGTGAAACATCGCTTTTCTACTGAGACCTGAGACTTGACGAAAAAGGCGGAACTACACTATGACGGAAATGCTGCACCCGGAGCATTTTCCGCGCACCCATGCCGGGTTTTACAAAAGGCGAAACGCAACAGGAGGCTGTGTTGTGCATTGGATGCTTTAACCATATCTTTGTGTAACGTATCTGTTCTTTTCACTCGCAAGCCAAGTCATTTGAGCGCATGGATCCGAGCCGAGTCACCGCTTATAAACCTGAGGGCACAGTTTATAACCTACAACCCATGTGCAGATTACTAAACCCAGATCTTACACATGTGCACATGGATCTCCCCCCCCCACCAACCCCAGGGGGCTCCGTACCCGCGTACATTCGCTGTTTCTGTATCGGGTAATTTTAAATGCCTTTCTATCCAACACTGCAAAATATGTAAGACAATATACATTTAAACTACATACTTTCAAAATGTTCATATACAGTAAAAAGTATGACCAGACAATAAGGTTATAATCTTTTAATAAAAACTTTGGTATCAATAACATTCTGTCCAATAAAAAGAAGTGTGTGACCCTTGGTGATGTCACGAGTCACATTAGAGGCTCACCATCTGTTTCTCCAGACTTTCAGGATATAATGCAGGTCCCATCACATTACCATGAAGACATGTTGTAGGAAAACAATTTCATTGCTCACATAGATTTCAATTATGCCTTAGAGAGCATGGAAAGGTAAATAAAAAGTCAGTGCCAAAGACATAACCAAAATAAGTTACATTACATTACAGTCTTGTTTCCTGTCTGTATTTTGTGATTGTTTTGCTGCAAGTCTTTTGCTTAGTCAAGTTTATGCATTGTGTGTTCAGTTATGTGCATTTTATGTTTCACCAGGCTGAAATTTGAATGTCTCTGCAGATCTCCGTTTTGTCATATTTACCACATTTTTAATCACAGGTTCTGGTCAACTGCCAAAATACTCTAACAGATGAACAAATGTGCAAGGGAAACAGCAAATAAAGTAGATGTGTAGATCAAGCAAATATCAAGAAAGCAGTGGATGTCAGTGCCTCCTTATTCTCTGTTATTACAAAATGAGGAATGGACTTTGTAGGTCGAAAACCTTACAATCAATCCAGCTGTTCAGGGGCAACAGGGTAACATCGAGACCAAAATTAAAGAGAAACTAAGTCCATTAACACCCACCTGCCCCACTTCACTACATTTGCCCCCCCCACCCAGTTGAGTTGTGTCCAGATCTCAGGGAAAGGATGCACAGCAGCCACAATACCCCTGGGAAATACAGGACAGAGTTTCTAATGGCTCCTTAAAGCTCATCTTTATGCTTTACTTCCTCATCATCCATTTCTGAAAGAGCTTCTTCTAGGTCGTCCTTTGTTTCTTCCTCCTCCTCCTCTTCTTCCTCTTCTTCTTCCTCTTCCTCTTCATCACCACCCTCAGTGTCTTGTTCTTTGTTCTTCTCCTCCTCTTCTTTTCGTTTCAGGTCGTCTTGCTCCTGCTTCATTTTCCTCTCTGGCTCCTGTGAGGAAAGTTAAGATAATCACAAACCATGTGTCTTAAAAGGGTTGGGCATCTAACTGGCAATGGTTTCATGTGTTGCACATTCAACAAAATACAGCTTAAAGAGAGTACCAGCACCAGCATACCTTTGTCACACCCCATGTCTCCTTTGCAATGTCTTCTGCTTCCTTCACGTCATCTGTGATCAGGAAGTTGTCAAAGATGGTACCAGATTTCACCTGGGATAAAACAGAAGCAAATGTTACACTTTAGTTAAAAACTTTCCTATGGAAATAACATTACTATTCAAAGATGATCTCTTTCTCGCTCACCTGCCAAAGATCGAGACCTAAAATACCAATGCTGTCAAACTTGTAGATGTTTGAATCAGCACTGTATTCAGGATTGTCAATCTCAGGATGCACCCATGCTCCTTTGTAGTTGGGGTTGTCGATCTGTTTGGGTTTCCATTCTCCCTGTAATAGAGAAGCTATTTATCATGCTGCAAAGACATTAGCAGTGAATGCATTTCTCAGACAAAAGAGATCACACAAATCATAAACTCTAGACAAGTCTATCCTACTTTGATCTACCTTGTATTCTGGGTTGGGGATCATGGGTGGCTCCCACTCGCCGTCCATATCCTCATCCCAGTCTTCAGGCTTTTTAGCATCAGGGTCTGGAATGTTTTCAGGTTTGTCCCAGTCCTAGAAAGAGGAACGAATAATCCTAAAACGGACGTTGACCTAACAGAATTGTGAATTTAATTTTAGTTCTTTAAAGCCCTGCGCTGCTGTGGAAATCTGGGAGGGAAATAAATGGAAAACACTCCTCATATCAGCACTTTCCATGGATGTAACAGCACATTTAGTCAATGCAAAGCAGGGCAGAGCTTATTTACTTAACTATATCAGTAAGGTTGCTTACCTCAGGTTTGGTATCATCAGCATCATCAATCTTGGCACGATCATCCCAGTCCTCTGGCTTCTTGGCTTCGGGGTCCTTAATTTTCTTAGGAGGCAGGAAGTCCCAGTCCTCCTCCAGGCTGCCAGATTCTACCTTCTCGTTGTCAATCTTCACCTCATAGGTCTGATCTGGATTCAGGATCAGCGTGTACAGGTGGCTCAGCTCATCATCCTAGAAGAAATCAAGGTGTTGTGGATTTAGCCACTGGTGCAGAAGTGGTGCATGTTTGTATTTTATAATAAATATCTTTTTTTTTTTTTTTCAAATTTAAAAAGACACTTTGCACCTACCTTGCACTTAATCTCTTTCTTAATGAGGTGATTCTTTCCCTTGTAATTGAAGATGACATGGACTTTCTTGGTGCTGTAGCCACAGATATCAGGACCTAGGTGAAACAAATTTAATTAAAACATGTTCCCAAGCCTCTGATTTTAACCATTCACTAATGTGCATTACTGTGAACATCATCACTTACCAAACATAATGTAGTATGAGGATTCTCCATGCATTTCAGCCTGATCCAAATCAGCAGGGAAGATCTTCACATAACCACCACCACAGTCAATCTTTTGCTCATGCTTGACCGTAAACTGAAAGACCACAGACTTGCCCTCGTTGCTGAAAGGCTCAAAACGGGCAGAGGCAGCATAGAAACGAGCATCCTGGCTTGTCTGGAGACCTGAAATAGGAAGTACAAAATAAATATTTAGCAAGACAAACACAAAATAAGTTCTCTTTAACGAACCGCAATACAAACAAGACATCAAGGCACTTAAAACATACTGACTAGATACAATTTCATCAGACATAGGAACTGTCCATAAGCTGCTGAGGTTACACTGTGCAGGCAGCAGAGTTTGTTGTTTAACTTGGTAACTATTAAAGCTGCAAAAATCAGGAGGCAACAATTGAGATTTTATTTATTCTCTTTTCTTTCCCAAAAGATTAATTGCTCATTTCCACCTTTAAAATATGAATTCCATATCAAGAACATTTTTGAGTGCCTTGTTATTTTTTGGGTCATACTGAATATAGCTTTTATTTATAATCAGAACACGTGATTCATGTTTTGTGATGAGTGGAATAAGAACTCAAAACGTTTACCTTTGTCTTTCTCAGCATCTCCGTAAAAGCTGCCAGCCGTCAGTTTCCATTCCCCATAGTCAGACTTGTGTTTGGAGTTCACCCAGCGACTTCTCCAGTCATCTAAACAGAAAACGACAAGCAAGTTTGAAGATTAACACCTGGGGAACCTTCTCTTGCAAAAACATCGTTACTTCCCGAAAATAATTACACAACTGTCATTGGCGGTACACTTTGAAATGTAACTGTCAAATCGGTTAAATTCGTTTGGTTGGTTTGTTTAACGACGAACTTAGGCCACAATTAGTAACTTAAGTGGTATGGTATTACGTTTGCTAGCTTTGGGGCCTTGCTAAAGTTAGCCAGCTAACAATCCAGTTAAAGTTAGTAAACTGAGAAGGGTGGTATCTTTCACTTAATCGCCGTTTGAAAATGCTTTTTTTCGTGAAGATAATAGGCTTTCAAGAAAAACTCACGACGATAACTCTTACAAGATGATGGGGAACAGTGAAGCTAACATGCAATGAAATAAACTCCTACACAACTAGCCAGTTTCATAAATGTCCAAACCAAACTTACCACCGTCCAGAAACTCCTCCCGAAAGTAAACCTTTGCATGTGCGCAGTATACTGCTAATATCACTGCAATTACACCTAAGACTTGCATTTTGCCCGTCTCTGCCCTACTTCGTACTGCTGGTACTGTCCTAGCTGACTAGTGAATACCTAGCAAAGAAGGAAGAGAAGGGAATATTTTAGAGTCGCTCCAGCGAACAGATGTCTGCCTGCCATTGGACAGCAAGATGGTATGCCTGGACCAATCGCAGTGGACCACGAAACATATGTCGTCTCTGGTTTCTGACCCAAGATCGGTTGTTAGTTTAAGCGGCTTCTTCTTCTTCTTCTTCTTTTGATTTGATTGGCGGTTGGCAACAAGTTTTCAGGTACATTACCGCTAATTACCGGACTGGAGTATAAAGCGTAAGAATGGCAGGAAAATAAATTAAGAAGAAGAAAGAAAATCAACCCTGTGTTTTTGAGATACGTGATTCTATGAATAAACATTCTCCCTGATGTTTCTCTAAGAAGGTTCCTAACATTGTGTGTTAGCTTATCCTTCTTTAATGCTGCTATTAGAGCCTGTCTTTCCTCCTCATATTCCCTTCTTTGTAACAGCACATACTGAACTGATTCTGAATGCCCACAGTGTGCACATCTACCAGTTGGATGTTTGCCTATTTTGTGTAGTGTCTGATAGAGTCTGGTATGTCCTATCCTGAGACGAGTAACGACTGCCTCTTTCTTTTCGGTTCCTACCCATCCTCCTTCCCAAACCCACATGATTCTGGATGCTATAAAAATGTCTTCCTGTGTCATTCATGTTCCAATATTTTTGCCATATTTTTTGCATTTGACTCTTTATGATTGTTTTACCTTCTGCTTTACTTAACGGGGTTTTCATGTTTACTGTTTGCAATTTAAGTGATTGTTTGGCCAGTATGTCAGTGTCCTCGTTTCCTTCTATTCCTACATGGGCAGGAACCCAAACAAAGCAAACCCTGAAAGCCTTATTGTGCATAATGTATATTAAATGGTGAATTTCAAATAAAATAGCGTGTCTACATGATTTCACAGATTTAATGCGTGTGGGTGCTGCCCAACTATTAGATGCTTGTTTTGTGGTTTTCCTCTAACCATTTCAATGCTATCAGAACAGCAACAAGTTCAGCTGCATATACTGATAAATGATCTGTGGTTATTTCCTTTATTGCTACCTTGCACTGTGGAATGAAAATTGCAGCTTCTGTGCGTCCAGTCTCAGGATCTTTTGACCCATCCGTGTATACCAATCATTTATCACCATAGTGCTGTTCAATGTAATTTTGTGCTATACTCCCAGCACTTGCCTGTTTGGATTTCCTCTTTAATTGCTGCTGCATGTTTAAATCGACTAATGGTGTCACAAATAACCGTGGAGGAATGGCTAAAGAACAGACTGTTGGACTGTAGCTACTGTATGTTAGTTAAACCTACGTTTTCGGCTTTAATATTTCCTACCCAACCAAAACTTCTGAAAAGTTTCATTGTGCTCCAACTGTTAATTTAATCATTTCTAATGTGTCGTTATATCAACAATCCGGTAGACGGCACCAAATTTCAAACATGGAAAACAAAATGGCCACAAGCGACACCTGACAGTCCTTACAGAAAGTTCTGTTTATTTGATTATGACTCGAATACCTACGTGTTTGCAAACATGGCAGTAAGCTTAGTAATGTAAGAGTTAAATGCAAATTCAAAACAATTAATTGGTTTGCGATTGAAATAAATATATGGAAAGCATAATTAAATCTATCACAACACATCAAAAGTGAAGGAAAGGCCATAAGCAAATTATGAAAGTTAACCAGTAACATTTTAAATTGTATTTCACTGCAACGGCTGTGGCCCGTGGTTCGTCAACGGTTGAAGTTGGGCGGTTGTGCTAACAACGGCTGGATTTGGACGGAAACTTTATTGCGAGCGGTTAGAAAAACAAATACCGACGAGTCTTTTTTTACTCCTGACACAGCACAGACAGAAAATGTGGCCACTGGGCGGCTATAATTTCATCGGGTGACCGAGTTTTGGTAAGGGCAGAAAAATATGTTACACTAATGTTAAACTGTCTGACTCCGTACGTTTGCCAACGTTAACAGTAAGGTAGTTCAGTTATCACAATGTCAATGTTAGCAGTAACCACTGAGTTAACCTACTAAACAGAAATGTTTTTAACTTTTTTTTTCTTTTCCCTCTTACTTTTATTTAGCCAATTTCAAAATGTATGTATGTATGTGGAGTATGTTAGCAACACTGATATGCCTCTACAATTGTACATTAGCCTAAAGTTAGTTGGTTCAACAGCCAAGTAAGAAACGTTAACAACCTTTCAGTATGGTAGTGTGAATTTTTGGGGTGTGGCGCATCATATGCTCCACAAATATGAATTTACCGTTAACATAAACCCTTTCAATTAACTTGCTATCAGTTCCAGTCGATGAAAAATGGCTCTGTTTTACTGAGAAGATAACCATACTCCTTTATCAGCTTACTGACATTGTCATCTACAGTATTCTGGACATGATGCAAGCTCCTGAATGTATTAGGTCTACAAAACCATAGGGGAAAAAAACAAAAGGCTTCAGCTCAAGTGTTTAATTATATTTTTTGATTTCATCTAGAGAGAATACCCTGGACTGAGTTGGGTGGTGATTTTGCTTTATCATGGATTCACACAATACAAAGGCAAACAAGCATGGATGTCAGGTACATTGATCCAGCACCTTGTAGGCTTACGAAATACAAGCAAACAATTAGATGTAACTTATTTTGTGTGGTCCAGTTTTTGTTACTTGAGCAAATACAGAAACTACTATTTACAACCCTTCTCTTCCTCAGGCCAAATACAAGCAGGCACGAGAAGAGCGAAAAAAGCTCCTCACCCCTGCACACAAGTACATCATTGACATCCTGGCTGACAGGCTGTTCTTGGAGCCAACAGCAGTAGAGGAATTTATTTTAGATTCATCTGTGAGTTTTGACTGTCTATGTACAGAATATCCCATCAAAGACGTAATTAATTACCCCAGTGGTTTTGGACCGTTGACTCTTAATCTTGGCCACAGTCCGGTCTCAAAAATATAAGGGAGACAGGACTTAACATTGACTTTAAGAGAATCTTTTTGCATTTGGAGAAAATATGTGGCAATTGCACCCTCTTCCTTTACCCCCTTGATGAAATCTCTGAGCATCATTACACAGTTCCACTTCTGCTTCGAACAGTCCCACTAGACTGTGGGGTGTATGATAATGTTAAAAGCAGTAACATCTCAACCAATACACATCAACATGTGATATTGGTGTTTATTTCTATCTGCCACTATAGTATGATTGGAAGATACAGAAGTATGACATTTTCCAGCCTTTCAGGGCGCTTTGATGTGGGTAAAACATTCTGTATTTCTGGTGTTGATTCATGAGAAAATACAATAGTATTCATTCTTGATTATCATTTTTATAAATGTTTCTGTCTAAAATGACAGGAACCTTTTTTTGGTTGAATGTCTTTAATGCCCATGTTAACATATAAATGCATAAATCCCTATGTTAACATATAAACACATAAAAAGAAAGTTGACCGTTTTTCTTTTTTACTTGCTCAATAGTTGGCTACTTTTGATCATTTCTTCGCCGAAGGAGGTTGTAAAACCATTTCTTTTGTGTATCAAGAGGCTGAAGTTCCAGGAATAGGTAAGTATAAATGTAGAGAGACTCCAATTTTGGACTGTTGCAAATTAGCCACTATGCCGTATTTCGCTTTTCATTAGACTGCCATAATGCTAGTATTAGAAACTGGATAAGACTGGTTAACAATATTGTTTTTCTTCCCTACCATAGAAAAATGTCAGATTTCTGTAGGGGAGGTATTATTCCTAGGAGGGTCCCTCTTCACTGTATGTGTTTGAGTTTATGTTCACTTTATTTTAGATGGGTCATTTGTATAATTTTGGGATAAATCTTTACCAAGTCTACTAAACTTAATAGATCGTATTTGCCCCCATACTGGTGAATGTTTAAACTTTAGTAAACAGAGTAGATATCAGCAGTGAATAGTTTTACATGTCCATTCTATTTCCTCTTGTCATCAAAATTCATTTGGATTTCATTTCAGAGTGTGGCCGCTCATATCCTGGGACTACCAAAGGGGAAAAAGTACACAGACTGTTTTTAGCAAATTTGTCTCAGACATGCCTTACAGGTGTTTGCTGCTCTTTCACACGGAATAGAGTGGACAGTCCTGTGAATTCAGAAAACATACATGTGGTAAGACAGTCATGTATGTGTAAAGTGGTGTGTTTCTGTAATTGTAAATGTTTTATTGCTTTGTGTGATAGGCTTATTTTCTGATTGAATTATTGTACCTTAAGAGCTACATAAAATCATTTTTGAATGTGCAGATTTTTTTATGTGCTAAAGAAAGTTTCGGTTTGACTGTAAAAGATACTGATTTGTCATTTGCACTGTACATCAGTAAGCATCCATAGTACTGATTATTATGAAAAACACCATATGTACCTCAACCTTTTTAGAGAAGTATCTATCATAATCATGTGCTAAAAGTACTAATATGTAACAATAAAAACGAAACATCTTTAACTTCATCTTAATAATAGAACATGTATCTGATGTTTTTACTGTGGATAGGGATCTGGATGAAAATATAGAGATTTGCAAATGATGATAATTATAAAAATTACGCAGATTTTTTTAATCTTGGGAATATTGGGGCTTTATAAAAGGATAAATTATAAAAATGTTCAAATTAGCCGTAGGCATGACAACTGTGTTATGGTCACTTAAATGCACCATTTTTCTGGAGTGCTCCAACTGGCAAAATACGGTCAAATTTTGTATTCATGAGTAGTCTGAAGTTTTTTAATACCATTTAACAAAACTGCTGGTTTCACATTTATTATTTTATTACCACACCTTCAACTAGTCGGATGAAACTAACACGGATTCTTTGTCTTCATTTGGGAAAAGGTGGAAGAGTCTCACTGGTGGTGACCATGTTACTAGCACTAGGCTAGGTTTTAGCTTTTTCGGTTCTGGATTTTGTTAAATGATTTGTCTTGATGCTTTGCAGGAGATAATGTTTTCAATGATTGATGCGAGAGATGGCCTCCTGAAAGGAATGAGGAATGCCTACAACTTCCTGCTACCAGCTCTTGATGCAAAACAAAACTGGGGTGTCTTAAATAAGACTAGACGCGGAGCAAAACTTAAAAAGAACTTCAAGTACACCATAAAGCGCTGTCTTAGCACCTTAGATGGCAAGTCATTTTTTTCTTGAAGTTGTCAGACTTTCAAGTTTTGATGTTTAGAAGTAATTATAACAATAATGTGTCTCATTAGTTTTGTTTGTCAAATCATACTTGATTGCTTCAAAATTGTAATTTGTTTCATGACCAAATAGTGGTCTTTCACTCGCTTTGATAATCATGTACTTTGTCTTTTTGTTTGTACCTCAGACCTCCAGATGAACATCGAGAACATTGTTCATCTGAAAACAGTCACAGATATTGACTTATCTAAATTGGCCACCCTTGATGATATGAAAGTTGCGGCTGCCAACTTTGACACGGTGCAGCAACTTGAAGAAATTCTGATGCAATGGTACAAGCAAATCAAGGAGGTTGGTAAAATAGTTGGTAAAATATTTCATGTTTGTTATCACACCTCTCCCAGGCACAGTGAACAGCTTCTTCAGGCTGATTGGCTTGAGGAACATGGGTACAAAGAACACTGGCCATGATGAAAGGGATTTTGGCTGCGTGAAAAATAGGAAAATAGCAAGAAATCCCAATAGAAAGTGAAGTGAGAAGGAAACGATCTTTCTTATTGTATTTTGGCTAAAGTCTCATTAAGATGTAATTTAGATACAATCTGCATGTTTAGGATCCATGCAGCTGGTCCAAAATATACATGGAAACTGCAGAGAAGCACGTTACTTCTACACAACAACTTACATCTTACCTTTAAATGAACCTTGCTGTAGAGTTATTGATTGAATAGTTCCCCTGTAAGAGGAAATTGTAACCTTTATCTGTATCCATAATCATCAGGTCCTGGTAGAAACTAGTCAGTTGAGGAAACTAGATGATTCTGCAGGACCACTGTGTGAGCTTCAGTACTGGCAAAGAATGTCTTTGAGGTTCAACTCCATCATCAGTCACATCAAAGGCCCTGAGTGTAAGGCAGTGGTAATGGTGCTCCATATCAGCCATTCCAAGGTTATGAAGGTACTGACACTTGAGTGTCCAACTTCAACAAAGTAATACATAAAAAAGTTGTTATACAGCATTTTTACCAGGTTTTTGGTGGATCTGACAAAGGGTTGATGTGTTCTCAGATGTTATATGACCAACTGATTCTGTGTAAAATATAACAAGACAAATGTCTGAAAATTATGATAGAAAATGTGTGTGAAAACAGTCATCACCAGGTGGTTGAAAAGTGCTTGTAGAAATTGATAATGATTCATTCTCAATTGTAGAAATATATAACATAAAATTAATCCATGGCATTATTGATCTTTGATAACCTTTGAAGACATTGTTAAGATAAAATTAAGATATCACACAATTGTTCCAACCTTAATGTCCAAATTTATTATGTTTGTGGTTTCTTTTAGCCTGTTTGAGTATTCTGCAATCTGAAATAATCACTTTGAGCTCTGTTACAGTAACTTGTGAAAGGCATTTTATGGACTAAAGGATTGAATTTAGAAAAAGTGCATATTGGTCAATAAAATCTGAAAACTTGCTTTGGTCTTCAAAAGACCTTAAGCCCTCTAGAATGAACTGAAATAGGTCATTTTAAACTGTGTACCTCTGCAGATGTGGCAGAAGATGGATTCCAGTTTAACAGATCGTGCCAATGAGGCAAAAGACAATGTAAAATTCCTGTGCACACTGGAGAAAGTCTGTCAACCTCTTTACAACAGTGACCCGGTATGTATAGTCAATAATATGATGTTATGAATGCCTAGTCATATCTAAGGAAAGATATTTGTCAGTATTGAATGAAAATGAAAAAAAAAATCGTCTACTGCAGAATTTTTATACATACACTAAGATGTAGGAGCATATTCAGGTATGTGTGTGTAAAAATAGCAGTATTTATAAAAAGAAGTTTAGGAAATGGATCTCCCATCTAATTTTAGAAAATGTGCGTGTCATTTTGTAGTGCTGTTTACATTCTACTGTAAGGGTTAATTGCATCCAACATTTATGGTCACTAACCGACAACTGCCATCATACATTGCCACTCAATAGTGACAACAGCGTTCCCTTTATAGTGAATAGTGGACAATTTCAGAGGCAGCCCAATTGTACAACAGGTGTAAGTTAAACCTCAGATGTAGTGATCTCTAATTGATATCAGTTTTTAATTAATGACATAGCAACTATATTTAGACTAAAGATAGCTGTGCTTTAAATGCACAAACACAGCTTAAACTGGGTTTAAGAAACGATGTGATTTGTTCCAGACAGGGTTAAACCTGTCTTAAACTGCACAAAGTTAGTGACAGAAACTGCCCCATTAAACTTTTGAAATTAATGTATTAACGAACAAACCAATTAATTAATTGATTAATCAATTAACAACACTGATATTCCATTAGTAGCATAGGAAGTGCTAGCGAGCCTTCCACACATTATTATGGGTCATTTACTAGATTTACTTGTAATTTTAAAAAACTTTATGTGATGGAACTTTTACCTCTAAGGCAAAGTGTGTTCCATTGTTTGAAGTATTTGTCCATTATACAGTTAATGGATGGCAATAATTTCCACAAGGATAGGACTATTGTAAATAATATTAACATACATGTATTTGTGATTGCAGGTCACCATGATGGGAAGCGTGCAGAACGTCATCAGTGCCATTCAAATGATATGTAGTGTTTCACTGTACTACAGTACAGGAGAAAATGTATCTGCACTGTTCGGCACAGTAAGTGTTTTTTATTCAAGTCTCAGAAAAATGGAAGTTGCTTTAGAAAATGTGGTTTTCATGCAAACACAATCTAAGATTTACATTTTTCTTAATTGAAACTTTGTAATTGTGTTCCTGAAAAATTTTCCAGGTCACAAGTCAGATGGTTACAGCATGCAGGTCATACATTACTGACAATGGCACATGTCAAATATGGGACCAAGATGCTGAAGTCATCATCAAGAAAATACAGGTAATGGTGACACCTATGTATATGGATAAACATCTGTGGTATCATTACTGGGAATTGAATATAACACATGATAGCAGCATGTCATTGTTTTCATTCATTTTTTGTCTTTGGCAGGACTGTATCTGCTTGTATGAGAAGTATCAGTCTTGCTTCCAGAAAACAAAGAAACAAACATCGGACAAACCTGGAAAGGTGTCATTGGATGATTCAGAGACAATGATTTTTTGGAAGTTTGACAATTTCTGCAAGCAACTTGAAAAGGTGAAGTTCACAAAGCAATTTTTAATTTGAATTCCACTTTTATTTTAAGGTCTTGCCTAATAACAATAAGCATCATCTTTTGTAGATCACAAAAATAATCACAGTATTCAAGACATTTGAATCCCTTGGGAAATCAAACATTGAGGGCATTGAGATTCTGGCCAGACAGTTCCACACTGTGTCCATGAATTTGAAACGGAAGCAGTCTGATATGTTGGCTCCAAGGACAGCTGAATTCCAAACCGATTTTGCTGACTTTATGGTTCAAGTTAGCCACATTGAGGTATGTAAAATTTCCTGCTGTTTAAAATCTGCAACATGTTGTATAGGTAGCATGCATTATATCCTTTTCTCTTATATAAGTATTGTTTCTGACATTGGTGATTGTTTTACCATTTTGTCTATCCTTCTCTATAGAACCGGCTGCAGGCATTTATGAGGTCATGCTTCTCAACCATCACCTCATCTCAGCAGGCGCTTTGCTTTGTGCAGCGGTCAGTATAATATTGCATAGTAGTATAGTATAAAGATCCTACTGTAATGATTTAAATTGTGGACATGTTGGCATGATAAACAGAAAATTCAAACGCAGCTCTCATAAATTACTTTATTTGTAGTTTTCAGAGGCTGAACATTCCCTGTCTAGGCACAGAAACATCCAGCATCTTGGGTCTTATTCTTCAGCATTATGCCTCGGAAGTAGAGTTTGTGAAAAAGGTATCACATTTTCATGGGCTTACATCTTTGAGTAGAATACCAAGAATAAAGTATAAATTCATTGTCAAATTTATTGTTAAATATGGGCTTTGATGTTTTTGATTAAACAAACAGATTTACTTATTTTCTTATTTTCAATTTTCTTTGCAGCTCTATGTCAAACAGAGAGAGGACCCCCCATTAGCTAGAAACATGCCTCCCGTGACTGGAAGGATTAGCTGGGTCAGGCACCTCTACAGAAAAATAGAGGAACCCATGTCATACCTAAAAGTAAGTCTACATTTCTCCCACCAAACAATTTAAAATACTTCATTATCATAAGTGTTATATTTTAATGTTGAATACATCTCTTGTCCTTAATAGAAACACTCTGACATCCTGTGCAGCCCCGAGGGACAAGATGTAGTCAAAATGTTCAACCAAACTGCATCTGCATTTGTAGAGTTTGAGTGTGTTCACCATAGAGCATGGATGGATGAAGTGTCAAAACTAGACTATGGTTGGTTCTTTGGTTTTAACTGAATATGTTCTACCCTAGATGGAATTTTATATCCCTTGTTAGGATGCAGCATAGGATTCTGTTAATATTCATTTCAAATACTTTCCCTTTTCTTCTTCTTTTCTACAGTCTTGAATATCACACTGCTGGTTCGACACCCAAAGACTGGAAAATTTGTCGTCAACTTTGATCCTGAAGTAACTGAGGTCATTCGGGAGGCTAAGTGTTTGCTGAAGATGGGTCTGGAGATTCCAAAGCAGGCTCTGTGTCTGGTCAAGTTGGAAAGCAGAATAAACACTAATCAACTCCGACTACAGGTAAACCCCATTAACATACATACATGCATTTTTTTTATAGATGCGTCACCTTAATTTAAATGATTTCTATGCTTATTTCCTTTTTTATAGACCATTTTGACAGAGTATGAGTCCACTTGTGAGAGCATACCTGCAGATTTCGCCAGCTTGATGGCTTCAAAAATAAAAAATGTAAGCAGTTTGTAGCTACAGTACAATAATAAGTAGAACATTTTACTAAATCATAAAGTACTGAAAAGTAACAATTTTCATGTTCTCATAAATGTAAACACACATAGTTCAACTCATGATATTTGCTGCAAGTCTGTGTATTCAAACACTTTGAAGTCTGTATTTGTTGCTTAGCTGCTTAGCCAGGAAAAGCACTTGACAGCGTGAATAGGTGTTGAACCAGCATTGACACATTTTTTTTATATTTATCGCTTTTGTGTCTTAAAGAGCTTATATTTCTTAATCTAACCATGCTTTCAGAGTTTCTCATTTTTGACTGTTATGTTTCTGATAAATTGCAAGGTGGAATCTGTGCTTCGCCATGGGTCAGTGCAGCTCACTTGGTCATCATTCCTCCTGGACAAGTTCTTCCAAAATGTTGACACTGCTTTGTTTGAGCTTAAACATCTTGTAAAGACGGTATGTTAGTGAATAAAAGCAGTCAAAAGTCAAGTATGCACATTAGTATAAAAACAAGTTGAAAGTGATACCAAAAATAATGAATGCCCGGAAAAGATCAGAAAAATGAATCCGTGTGTTTAATACCATGTTGTTTAGAAGGATTATTAATAACCTTTGGTGAATGGTTGTGGATCTGCAATGTAAAAATTTCATTACACTGATATTGCACTCACCAGTCAGCAATCCTTTGTCACAGTTTTACTCTTTGTATTCTTAAAATGCTATTGCTCAAGACTCATGTTACTACAGACTATATTTCTTTTTTCAGGTGCAGGATATCTCTAAGATACACATTGATGATGTCCTTAAGGACATCTCAGAGACTGAGCTGATTGAGCTCCCAGAAGATCATGCGTCTTCAGTACATGGCCTGATTGATTATAATGAGGTATGGACTGTGATAACCATTTTTGTAATGTTCTTTTTTTTATTTTTTACAATTATTGCTTTATTAAAGATGAAGATTTATGAAGATGGAGTGTACATTTTCCATTTTAATTTCTTTGAATTGAAATAGTGAATCATGCCTGGTTCACCCATCTACTTGTAGTATGTATCTCTTTTTAGAATCGATGTATGGAGTTGGGAAAGACCTTGGACCACAAATGTAGTCGTGTTAAAGAAGCAGTGAAGGAGCTGGGTAATGTGTTTAGTGCCATTTATGAATCAAAAGGCACCAAGAAGACCACTGAGGAAACTGTTTCAGGTACTCTTAAACCCCAGTTTTAAGAGTTGGACCCAAAATCTAAATATCTTGCATATAAGTATGTAGATCTTTTTTTATTTTACTCACACACATACAACATGCATTATAGGACAGAGGGGTGTGACATTCTCAGGAGAGAGCCAGAAGAAGTCTAATCAGGATGAGGGAATGAATTTAGTAGGTCCAGATAGAGATAAATCAATCAAATTTGAAAAGGTATGTTTGCTTACCCACAGAAAAGCATTTATCTTGTATACAGTATTCCAACAAGTGTGTTAATGCTTCACATACAAATCTAAATTTCAGGAGTTTAAGAAGCTTTATGAATACTTCACTGCAAGGGTATTAGAGGCACTGGTCAAAACAACCAGGTTATCGCTGGAGATCCTGAAAAGGAGAATTTATGCCAAGTGAGTATGTCTGTGTTTGTCAGCATGTAAAAAAAGGACCTGTATCTAAGAGAAATGATACAATCCCTTACAGATCAACATCAATAAAAGGATCTGAGTCTAAGCTGGTCCCATTAATAAAATCTGAAGTCCAGCTGGTCATACCCAAAGTGGTGAGTTTCTTCTGATTTCAATTCATCCTACAGTACCTTGTAGGGAAGAATAATCAGAGGAATAATCTAGAATTCCATTCCAATCTTGTGAAACAGAAATTGCAGTTTCTGTGTCTAATCATTTTTGTCACCAGGTGATGGTTCCCACTATAGATGAGATCCAACAGGCCATAAATCACCTAATTGACCGGGTGTTGGAAGTTAGCAAGGGCATTACATGGCAGTGGGAGTGCAGTCCCCTTGGCACAAAGAACAAAGGTATGTCACTGTCAGCATGTAAATGGAAGAAAAAAAAGACAAGACTGAAAGACAAATTAACAAGAATGACCTTTTAAATTTGATTTGTGAATAATTTGGTTTATTGATCTTTCATTGAAATAATCAAGAACAATTTTTGAGATATTTTTATGGTTTTGCCTGTTGTCTGTAATGATTTCATAGGCGGAGAAAAAGATAATTTTTATCACAGAGTAGCTGAACACAAGGAAATCAAAAAGGTGGTGGTCATTCTGAAAACAGCAGTCAGCAGCAAGAAAGGACAAGCGACTGATTTTCTGAAGCAGTTCAGTCCATTTAGTGTGATCTGGGACAAGGACAAGAACCTCAAAGTCAAAGTTTGTTTTCCTGTGAACATAACATGTTCTTTTTTTGACTTTTAGATGGAATATCTATTTTCCTGAAATAACAGCAACATGATTATGTTAACTTTCTAAGGAATTCATGGGCAGCCATCCATCCTTGATCCAGATTAAATCTGAAATCCAGCACTATGACTCAATTGAACAAGAAATTGATGATATCAAACCCATCATTGTTTTGATGTCAACTGAGCTGTCAACAGGTAAGATATTCGTTATGTGTTGTAGACAGCAACCAGATAAATTCTAAGTTAGTAAATGCCTATCTCCATTACAGTTGGAAGCTGCTATGAGAGGCTGCACTTATGCACAGCAATGCTTTCAGTGAAATGCTAACTTGCTCAATGACAGTTAACATGCTGATATTCAGATTGGATTAATTCATTTGCAATCGGTAGGATGACAGATTATGAATAAATTCATCTAAAATATTAATACATGAGCTGCCTCTTTTTGCTGTTTTTTAACAATTTAGTGCTACCCTTTTTCCCAACTTTGTCCTGGAGAATATGGACACTGCTTTTTTTTAAGGCGCTGTACCTGGCTGAACGTCAGAGCAGAAGACTACTTGAATCCATCACTTTTAAAGTTATGCCTGGTTTGAGAACTGTGTGTGTGTGTGTGTGTTAGAAGAAGGAATGCAAATTGTATCTCTTGTAAACAGATCCATTAAAGAAGGCCCTGAAAGTTGAGACCAAAGCCTGGAAGAAGCTGTTGTGCAAATACCTGAAGGAGGAGTACAAAAAGAAAATGATTGACACCAGCATACATTCTAACAAATACCTCACACAACTATCTCATCCTGTGGCTAATCTGGAAGATGTGCGCCTTACCATGGGGGCCCTGTCTAAGCTTCGGGATACTGAAATACAAACTGATATGACATTGATTTCCATTGAGGTATGAATAGCACAATAATTTCTTGTCAGGGATATAGCTTAAGTCTTACCAATAACTGCAATGCTTGTATGCCTGTGTACAGATCGAAATTAGCACTGAATCTGAAAAAAAAACACCCAAAGGTTTGCAAAAGTGAGCACACTTTGCATTTCTGCACTGGGACTCCTGTGGTGCCAACCCATGGGCCTCAGTGGAACAAATTAATACATTCTTATCAAGTAGCAGATCAAAATGAGACCTACAGACATATTTAAACTTTTATTAGGTTTCCAGTCTTGGAATGTGGACAAATCTGGGTGAAGTCTTGTTTGTGATGTGAGTTTATGACAGATAATAACAAGAGCAGTTGGCAGTTAGGCACTATAAAAGACGAGACATACACATTGAATTATACTGTTAGTAAATTGCTGGCTTTGAATGATCTATGGGGCATTATCAGAGACTATTTGTGGGCATTTTAATGACCAAATTTATAGTCCCTTTTTTCTGTCCTAAATTTGTGTGTTCATGACATTTGTAGATTTTCATTATTGGTTTAGAAATGTTTTTCACTGTAAGTGTAAATTTTGAAGTCATGTTCTCTTTCCTCCATAAGGTAACCCTGAAGTTTGATTTACGTAGCTATCAAATAACAATTTAATGATGATGTTACATTTTACAGGAAGCCTATGAAATTCTGACTAAATATGAAGCAGAGGTGACCAAAAGAGAAACAGAGGGGGTGCACAATCTGAGGGATCTCTTCACAAAACTTCAGTCTAAAGCTGTTAGTATTCTCATTATATTGAATGTTTTAACAATGTGTCCCTTCTTTAACTCACCTGTGATCTTGGTTTTTAATTCCTGACTTTCCCAGAGGTCAGTGCAAGATGAGCTTGTTCGAAGGCAACCCATGTTCAAACAAAGCCTTCTGGAGTGTGTTGCTATTTTCCAAAATGATGTTTGCACTTTTACGGAGAAATACGATTCAGTAAGTAATCTGTGTATTTTTTCTTATTAGTGTATGTGTATGTTTTCAATCAGTCAAATTAGTCAATTTAAATGAATTTATTAATCAGTTTGTATGACCTTGTTTTTAGGAAGGCCCCATGGTTGAGGGAATAGCTCCACAAGAAGCCAGCCGCAGGCTCCAGAGTTGTCAGGTAACTCAGTTAGTGTATTACTATCATACTATATACTGGTCAATGTTGTCATGAAAAGCAATCAAACAAGTAGAAAAGCCCTGCAAAATGAAATATAAACACGGCATCTTATTTTTTTCCTTTTTATTGTACGCAGGCTAAATTTGAAGAACTGTGGAGAAATTTCAACACATACAGCTCTGGAGAGCAGCTTCTTGGCTTGCCAGTTACACAGTATGACTGTCTACAAAAGAAAAAGTATGTTCCCATTCTATAAAGGCTTACCCTATATTACCATGACATTGAAAATTCTTTCCATACTGGTTGCAGTGTAATCTCTGTGGTATTTTCTAATGTATTCAAACTAATAAATCCATGATTCCTTATGATTACCACAGAAAAGAGCTTGATCTGCTACAGAAACTTTATGGCCTTTATGATGCAGTCATGACTAAGATTAGCAGGTACTATGGCATTCTGTGGACAGATGTGGATATTGAGAAGATCAATGCAGAACTTTTGGAATTTCAGAACAGGTAATCCCCTTATTTCTGTTAATTACATGCAATCTTCTATGCTTTAGTTTGGCATGTGACAATCTAAGAACTTGAATGAATGAAATTCATAACCATATATCACTCACACACCTTCTGTTTTTTGTATTATTTTCTTATGCTATTCTAAATTTTATTATATTTTTAGTCTTATTCTAGGTTTATTAACTCAGACTCTTGCTTTGCTGCTGTAACACCTACAATGGTTAACCCTCTTTCTAGGTGTCGGAAACTACCCAAAGGGCTGAAAGAATGGCAAGCCTTCTTGGACCTGAAGAAGACGATTGATGATTTCAGTGAGTCATGCCCTCTGCTTGAAATGATGGCAAATAAATCTATGATGAGAAGACACTGGGACCGGATCACAGACCTTACAGGGCACAAATTTGAGGTGGAGTCCAAGACCTTTACACTCCAGAACATCATGGAAGCACCTCTGTTGAAGTATAAGGACGAAATTGAGGTTTGCTGGCAGTTCAGATGCTTTGGTTACAACCTGTCCTCATTTCAAGCTGCAATGTCTTATTACTTTATAAACCCTTGGCTTACTGTGTTTGTAGGATATCTCCATATCAGCTGTTAAGGAGAAAGATATTGAGGCCAAGTTGTCACAAGTGAAAGAGGTGTGGTGCAGCCAGATCCTGAGCTTGATGACATTCAAGGACAGAGGAGAACTGATGCTGAAAGGGGCAGAGACAGCAGAGATTCTCACCACTCTGGAGGATAGTTTGATGGTGCTGGGTTCACTGCTGAGCAACAGGTAGAACAGAGAAAAATCTACCGTAACTTAAAATTTCAGCAAGTTCATCATCTTATCCAGGAAGCTCAGAAGGGAAATCAAAAAACATTTAAGACCAAGTATGATTAAGGATGGAGTACATAAACAGAAAAGACTGCTAGTGGACTTATGTAACTATAACTGATGAAAATGAATGGGAGTAATTTTGGGTCTGTTAATTGAAGGTATTTTTTCAGACAAGGTGTCCACACAATGTCTTGTGTCTTTCTTGTCTTGAACTTGTGCCCTTGTCTGCCTTTACAGGTACAGTGCCTACTACAAAGCAGAGATCCAGGATTGGGTCTCCAAGCTGTCAACAACATCTGATGTCATTGAACAGTGGGTTATTGTGCAAAACCTGTGGATCTATTTGGAGGCTGTGTTTGTTGGAGGTGACATTGCCAAAGACCTGCCACAGGTATAGTATGAAATCTCAGTTATTTCTTATACAATGTGTTATTCTACTCAGTAAATTACTAAAATACTTACTATATTACTATATTACAACTATTACAATACTGAAATATTTCCCAATCTAGGAAGCAAAGCGATTTCAGAATATTGACAAGTCATGGATTAAGATCATGCAACGAGCCCAAAAGGTCCCACATGTGATTGAGTGCTGTGTGGGGGATCCAACTCTGGGACAGCTCCTGCCAGATCTTCAGAAACAGCTGGAGTTCTGTCAAAAATCTCTTGCAGGGTAAAGCTTTGCCAACAACTTTGTTTAGTTTATTACTTTATCTTAGAAACATCAGTAGGGGCAAAAAAACACAAACAAAAAACTTCTACCCCTACCCTGTTAAGTTCATTTTAACTGTAACCTCCCCTTGTTTTCTCACAAATTGCTGTATCGTCAGTATTTTGAAGAAGCAAAACACTGATTTATGAGAGATCGAATCAATGAACTTTAAATCATGTCAGTGAATTGTCATCAAGAAGATCTCAATACTTTAGCAGCCCATATTAACACATTGATAAAGTACTGGCCAAACGGCCATCACCAAAATCTTTAAAACTGCATTAAGTCAGTCAGTTGGAAAGGACAACTCTGGTAAGGTTATAAGAGGAAGGAGACATTTGATTTTTTTGTATGATTTTTCATGTTGGTGTTTGAATTGTTTGAAGGTCATTCCTTTGTCACTATCTACGAGATGTTTTTACTGCATAAATAGTCAAACCTTTTGCATAACCAACCAGTTTTTTTATAAAATTTTTTTTTTTTTTTTAAAGGTGGTTATTTTGCAACAGCTTCATTGCAAAGTATCCATCTTTTTAAAGTTGGTTTAATCAAATCAGTTGTATTTAATGGTTTTGTAATTCTTTTGCACCTTGATGTTTTCCATTATTTATTTAATTATTTCTTTATTTGATTTTTCATTTAAATTTTCAATTGATTTGGTTACTCCTCATAAGTCTTGCAGATGCTTTCAGCCAAAAAAAGAATATTTTCCTGAATGACATAGGCCTTGGGTATACCACTACAGTTGATGGAGATGATGTTATCTAATTCAACAGGTACCTTGAGAAAAAGAGGCTTCTGTTTCCACGATTCTTCTTTGTGTCTGATCCGGCCCTTTTGGAAATTCTTGGTCAAGCCAGTGATTCTCACACTATTCAGGTTAGAACATTGATTGTCACTATTAAAAGTTTTAAAATACTTCTGCAAAGGAAGTCTGTTTTTGGTCCCTTTCTTATGTCTGACTGTTGAGTTGCATGGTATCTTAAAAACCTGTCAGATTATTTCAGTGAAATTTGGTGGAAAATAAGCTCTAGGAAAAGTGAAATTATGATATAGATTCAAATCAGGAAAATGGTAAAAGACTTTTTAGGGAATTTAGTTTGAGTTGCTGCACTTTTAAATGTTCTGACAGGTATTAATCTGTCACAATAACATCTTGATTTCTTGAGATTGTTAAATAAAAATTAGCAAAATGATTTAAGGTGAAATTATTTTTTTCAGTCACATCTCCTTGGAGTGTTCGACAATGTCAATGAAGCAGAGTTTCATGCAACAGAGTATGATAAGATTTTGGCTGTTATTTCACAAGAGGGAGAGAAACTACTGGTATGTATTTTGAATTGCATTTGCAGATTATAACTATAATGTAATTCTACATTTGCATTTGCAGAGTGTTAAAACAATGTGGAATTGCATGTGTTTCTCTTAATGTAAGGCACTGTGTTGCAGCTGGTCTAAATGGAGCCAATTTTAATTACATTATATTGTTTGGTAGTAGAATCTATAACAATTCATCATATTGCATGAGTGATCTCATATGTTTTGTTTGTGAATTCGACAACTGTGCATATGGGAAAAAAGTATATTACCCTAAAATTGTACTTAAGTAAATGCATTTTGTTCCTTTCCTTACCTGATCACAAGTGTAGTAAATGTGTTTGTGGTTTCAGCTGGACAGTCCTGTGATGGCACAGGGACCAGTGGAGCTCTGGCTCGGGAAGCTGTTGTTACAACAGCAAGCTTCATTACACTCTGTTATCAAAGCTTCAGATCTAGAGATCAACGATGAAGACTTTGATCTTCTCTCTTTCCTTGACAAGTTTCAAGCACAGGTCAGAAGACACTATCGTTTAATAGGTTGATTCTAAATGCTAGTGACTAATAGATATCAGGTCAACACTAGACATGTACAGAGTATTATTCTATTATTACAGATTGTGATGTGAAGTGTAACAAGTCAGAACTGTGACAAGAACTGTCCACTCTTTGACCTCAGCTCTTTGTATATATTTCCACAACAGAGATTGAACTCAATAATTTGTTCTTAGAACATCCTCATCACAAAGATGTATCCATATTGTGGTCAGACCACTAGATGGTGATCACTTCTCAGAGCATCCAGAATTATGGCCTTGGGCCTCATGAAACATATACAGTACAAAGTTGGCTATATCTTCATTTGTGTTGAGAGGTATAATGAGAAGTATTAGTAGTTCTTTACTTTTTTTACTGCAACTAATGTGTACTAGCTTGCAAATTTAGGTTACATTTAGGTAGTTCAGTTTTTCATTTTATTAGAAACATCTTTTCATGTGTCCTTTTGCTCTGTCATTTTTAGGTGGGCTTGCTGGGAATCCAGATGCTTTGGACAAGAGATGCAGAGGAGGCACTGCAAAATGCTGAAGATGACAGGGAGATCATGCCTTTTACCAAAAAGAAATTCCTACAATTACTCAGCATTCTCATTAAACAAACCACCTATGACTTGAGCAAGTTTGACAGAATCAAATATGAGACACTGGTCACAATCCATGTGCACCAGAGTGACATATTTAATGACCTAGTAGGTTCTTTGGAAAATCTTACTATATCATTGACTGACTGTTATTGTATTTTGATAACACATTCAGATTGATATCCTGTTTTGTCCCCAGGTAAAAAAGCGTATAAAATCTGTCAATGACTTTGAATGGCTGAAGCAGAGCAGATTTTACTACAAGGAGGATCTGGATAAAGTCATTGTGTCCATCACTAATGTTGACTTCATTTATCAGAATGAGTTCTTAGGCTGTACCGACCGTCTGGTCATCACCCCTCTGACTGACAGGCAGGAGAAGATTTGATATTGTTATTTAATAATTGTATTCACTTTTCACATAGTGTTTAATTTCTAATTTCTAAGTTGAATCAGTCAACTGCCTTGTATCTGGTAACAGGTGTTACATCACACTCGCCCAGGCTCTGGGCATGAGCATGGGAGGAGCCCCTGCAGGGCCTGCCGGCACTGGGAAGACTGAAACCACAAAAGACATGGGACGCTGCCTCGGCAAGTACGTTGTGGTGTTCAACTGCTCAGACCAGATGGACTTCAGAGGACTTGGCAGGATATACAAAGGTATCTTAGGCAATGAAATAATTAATCGAGTAGTGTGGTGTACAGTTTCAGTTATCTCATGACATATTCATTTTTCAGGCCTTGCGCAGTCAGGGTCCTGGGGCTGCTTTGATGAGTTCAACAGAATCGACCTGCCAGTGCTTTCTGTTGCTGCTCAGCAGATCTACATTGTTCTGCAAGCACGCAAGAAACACAAAATCTCTTTCATCTTTACTGATGGAGACTGTGTTGATCTGAATCCAGAGTTTGGCCTTTTCATTACTATGGTAGGATACACAAATGCACAAGAATTTTAGAAGAAATATCTTAAACCTTGGAAGAAGACATTAAATACACACTAAATGACATGTCATCCTTCCATGTCTAGAACCCTGGATATGCAGGTCGTCAGGAACTTCCTGAAAACTTAAAAGTGCAATTCAGGACAGTGTCAATGATGGTGCCAGACCGGCAGGTGGGTCCAGGCTACTTTTGCTGGAAAATAATATTTTTTCCTTTGTTTTAGACATAATAGGCAGTCACTTATTCTCTTGTCTTTTGCAGATCATCATGAGAGTCAAACTAGCTAGTTGTGGATTCAATGACAATGTCATCTTAGCCCAGAAATTCTTTGTTCTTTATAAACTGTGTGAAGAACAACTTACAAAACAGGTGAGAAATTGTTTGTCAGTGCTTAATTACTTTCCTTAATGATTGTTAATTTACTGCCACACAATCTCTTCTGTTTGTCAGGTCCACTATGACTTTGGCCTGAGGAACATCCTGTCTGTGTTGAGAACACTGGGGGCCAGTAAAAGAGCACGACCTGATGACACAGAGTCCAGTATTGTCATGAGAGTGTTACGTGACATGAATCTTTCTAAACTGGTATGTTACATATTATTGGTATGTTTTATATTGTTCACCATCAGTGATAATATAATAAATTCTACTGGTATTGTACTATGTGGGTAGACACTATACTGCATGTGAATCTCTGTATGTTTCAGGTGGACGAGGATGAGCCCCTCTTTCTTAGTTTGATCAATGACCTATTCCCTGGTATCCAGCTGGATGGAAGCACATATACTGAACTTCAAGCTGCTGTAGCCCATCAAGTTGAGCTTGCTGGTATTGTTAACCATCCCCCTTGGAACCTCAAGCTGGTTCAGGTATGTCAAAGACTCTTTTTGTATTTACCTCCTGTTGTATTTTGTGTATTTTTCAGTGATATTTGGAAGATATATAATATGTTACTGTTACTGTCACTCACAGCTTTATGAGGCTTCACGAGTGCGTCATGGCCTGATGACTCTGGGACCAAGCGGAGCTGGGAAGACCACAGTTATCAACATTCTAATGCGATCTTTGACTCAGTGTGGAACCCCACACAGGGAGATGCGCATGAATCCCAAAGCAATCACTGCCCCACAGATGTTCGGCCGTCTTGATGCAGCCACCAATGACTGGACTGATGGCATTTTTTCTACTCTATGGAGGAGGACTCTCAAAGCCAAGAAAGGTTTGTAATGCTATCTGTAGTGCACATTCAACCTAATATTTTTCAATTTATGTCACAAATTCCCTTTGTAAACATTTTCTTACACAAAAACAAGAACAATGTAGACATTGTTGCAGTTTTAAAAAATAATACTAAATCTTTTTGAACATTTTAAATACAGTAAATAGAGCACCTCATAAGCAGCTGGTCATGCAGCAAAATTAATTCAGTGTAGCTGTTTTGTCTGGTGAAAGCAGCTTCTGTTTATTTTTTGCTTAGGCATTAGATAGTAAGTGATACACACCTAAAAATGTTAGGGATACCAGCTGTAGAAAATTGCTGTTCAGAGAGAGCAAGTAAGTGAAAAAGTTGAAGAGATAGTTTGATAATATAAGGACTGAATTGTAATATCTTTGAAATTTGTATATTTCAGGGGAGTTCATATGGATTTTGCTAGATGGCCCTGTGGACGCTATATGGATTGAGAACCTCAACTCTGTGCTGGATGATAACAAAACACTGACCCTGGCTAATGGTGACCGTATCACCATGTCTCCATCCTGTAAGCTGGTATTTGAGGTGCACAACATGGATAATGCCTCCCCTGCTACTGTGTCCCGGGTGGGTATGGTCTTCATGAGCTCCTCAGCTCTCAGCTGGAGACCTATACTCCAGGTACAATTGTTTTGTTAAATCATCAATAGAGAAAGTGTTTGCAGAAAAGAAACAATGTGTCTTTACAATGCTTTACAATCAAGATCTTAGGTGGAACATTTTATTTTGTAGGGATGGGCTCACAAGCGCAATGCACAGGAGGCAGAAAGCATTATGGGTTTATATGACAAAATATTTGAGGAAGCTTACTTGTATATGAAGCAAAACCTTAAACCCAAAATGGAACTTTTGGAGTGCAACTACATCATGCAGGTTTGTGTCCAGAAAAATACTGAAGACAAACAGGAATTAGATGATGGCTCTGAACTTGTTTGATGAAACACTGAATATATTATTATGATCTAACATCATTAGTCTGTGAATCTGCTGGAGGGCGTCATCCCAACTAAGGAGACAGGGGGCTTGGCTGGTGACAAACACATGGAACGCCTCTTCGTCTTCTGTCTGATGTGGAGCCTGGGAGCCCTTTTGGAGTTGGAGGATAGAGACAAACTGGAGGCTTATATTAGATCACATGAAAGCAGCATTAATGTGCCTCAAACGCAGCCAGGAGAGACTATGTTTGAGTACATGGTCAACCCAAATGGTACAATAATTTTATACATTAAAAACCATTCCGTTGCTGTCTTTATCTAGTTTTTAGATAATGGTTGAAGGACTATTTTAACATGGGTATACAACTATATGTATGATGACTTCAGGTGAGTGGTGTCATTGGAATAACCATGTGGGGGAGTTTATCTATCCAGCTGACCATGTTCCAAACTATGCCTCCATCCTTGTGCCAAATGTGGATAATACAAGAACCTCTTTCCTGCTGGAGGTTATTGCCAAACAACGCAAGGTGATCTTTAAAAAAAATTTCATTACAAACGTAATAACTTTTTTTGCTTTGATGTATGTCTGTGACAGATGCATGTTGTTTTTGTATAGGCGGTACTTCTTATTGGTGAACAAGGGACAGCCAAGACAGTGATGATAAAAGGCTACACAAAAAAATATGATCCTGAGACAGACCTATCCAAGTCTGTGAACTTCTCATCTGCAACAGAACCCATGATGTTTCAGGTAGAATGTTTATCATGTTTCTATATGCTGTCCATGGCTCTGTGCAGTTCTGAGTAGGTTTTTGTTTGCAAAAGCATTTTTTCTCTATTACAGCGAACAGTGGAGAGCTACATAGAGAAACGAATTGGCAGTACCTATGGACCCCCAGGAGGACGCCGGATGACAGTCTTCATTGATGATATAAACATGCCTATTGTCAATGAATGGGGGGATCAGGTAATCATGTATAAATATATGCAGTTCAAAAGTCTTAGACTTTCAGACTTAGTCTGTCTGAATAACTACTGTATGTGCCTGTACAATAGATCACCAATGAGATAGTCCGCCAGATGATGGAAATGAGCGGCATGTACAATCTAGACAAACCAGGAGACTTCACCACTGTTGTGGACGTACAGATAGTGGCTGCCATGATTCACCCTGGTGGGGGGAGAAACGACATCCCACAGAGACTGAAGAGACAGTTTACAGTCTTCAACTGTACTCTGCCATCCAACAGCTCCATTGATAAGATCTTTGGTAGTTGTCCCTACAATTATTCACTTTTCAGCTTACTTTAGGTTGTATGAAACGCTTGAAATTCTCTTTCCTGTCCTCTCTCTGCAGGTGTCATCGGGTGTGGATATTTTGACACTTGCAGGAATTTCAAGCCTGAGATATTTGATATGGTGAAGTGCCTTGTGTCTGCAGGGAGGATTGTATGGCAGTGGACAAAGGTAATCTCTTGGAGGAGGTTGTGAAATTGATTATGCGGATAGATTTATATGGTACAGCCTGATAACCCACTACAGGGCCTAGTAATAGGTCAAAACATCATTTGACATGAATACTAGGCTTCACCCAACTTTTGGTGCATCTTACTGTGTATTGATAATGATGATGTAATGACCTGATTTGTTGATTTCATATTGAAGGGAAAAATGCTTCCCACACCATCCAAGTTCCATTACATCTTCAATTTGAGAGACTTGTCCAGGATCTGGCAAGGAATGTTAAATATTAAGGCTGAGGAGTGTGACAATATCCCCACTCTCATGGCACTTTTCAAGAGTGAATGTACAAGGGTGATTGCTGACAGGTACAGTGCTTACATACAGTGAAATCACTTGCACATCACAAATGCACAAAAGATGACATACAAGCTTACTAAGAAAATGTTTTCTTGTAGGTTTGTTTGCTTTGAGGACAGAGAGTGGTTTGAGAAGGCTCTAACTCGTGTGATCCAAGAGCATGTTGACCCCAGTCTTGTCCCAGAACTTCATCCTGAGCCATACTTTGTTGACTTCCTGCGAGATGCTCCTGAGCCTACTGGAGAAGAAGACGATGATGCCTGTTTTGATGCCCCCAAAATTTATGAACTGGTATGAACTTGGTATTTAGACTATTGATAGATGTAGAAAACTGTCAAAATTATCTGAGTAAACTATCGTGCTTCCAGGTGCCAAGTATTGAGTTCTTACAAGAAAAGCTGATGATGTATCAGACCCAGCACAATGAGGTTGTGAGAGGCTCCAGTTTAGATCTGGTTTTCTTCACGGATGCCATGACTCATCTTGTCAAGGTCAAACTACAAGCTAACCTGACAGATACATATTGTGTTGAGCAGGCTATAGATAATTCTGATTTATTTGAGATTTGCCTTCCTTTAGATCTCACGTATCATTCGAACTGACACTGGAAATGCCCTGCTTGTGGGAGTGGGAGGATCAGGCAAACAGAGCTTGACTCGCCTTGCTTCATACATAGCTGGATACAGCATCTTCCAGATCACACTGACAAGGTGAGAATGGACATAAAGTAAAGCGACTGTCAGCATTAGTGAGGCAACTTGGAAGAGGGTAGCCATACAGTAACAAGATAAGATGTTCTCACTGATAGTTAGGTTAAAACTCAATAACAGGTGAAAACTTAATAACATGTCTATGTAGTTTTGCATTTTGCTTTAAAATGTTTGTAGAAAGGTTACCTGTGAAGTTCTTAAATATTATATTTAAATTCTAATTTCTAATTAACTATTCATATTAATTTGTAAGAACAAATATTCACATTCTGAGTGATGATTGATATTGTTGATCTAGAAAAATCTATACACTTTTTGAAAATTATTCTTACCTTTTTAATTACAATACAAAACATGCTATTACCTTATCACCTAATCAAACAGACTCAAATGTTTATTAAGTAAATGTATGTATTGTAAAATATTATTGTGCAGTAACTTCTCCTTAACTTACCAGATCACTTTGTCGTCATTGTATTTGGATGATTTTGATTATTTAGTACAGTTTATGAAAAAAGCCTATAAATTTATGTGTGATGTGCAACAAAAAAACAGCAAAAAAAAGATTCATCATTGGTCTATATTGACTTTTAGTAGCACACTCATAACACACACAGTAGATGATTATCATGGTACAGATTACGCATTCCATGAACCCATAAGCCATTTTATATTTTAGATAAATTGTCCAAAACTGCATTCTTATAGATCCTAATTGTGTCACCGCATCAAAACTTAATGATGTACTGGGGTCTTTCTTCTTACACTGCCATGTTTGTTTTCTCAGAACATACAACATAAGTAATTTCATGGATGACCTGAAAGTGTTGTATAAAACAGCAGGGGCTGAGGGCAAAGGCATCACCTTCATCTTTACTGACAATGAAATCAAAGATGAAGCCTTCCTTGAGTACCTCAACAATGTTCTTTCTTCTGGAGAGGTAAGGGCTTCATGTTAAGGGTAAAACCCCGAACACCCCATCCATGGTCACACAAACTAACTGAGTCTGCATTTAGACAATGTAGTTTAGAACTTTCTTATTTATTCTCATTTCAACAATGCATCATTCCTATTTCACAGAGACAAAGAGGTCAGACTAAATGTTATGTCTTAGATTTCAAATGAAAGCTTTTACTGGTCCTGATGACTTGACTGTGAGTGAACTGTGTACAGGTCTCCAATCTGTTTGCTAAAGATGAGATCACAGAGATCACCCAGAACCTGATACCTGTGATGAAAAAGGAGCTTCCTCGTGTTCCACCAACTTTTGACAACCTCTATGACTACTTCATAACCCGGTCCAGAAAGAATCTGCATGTAGTTCTTTGCTTCTCACCAGTAGGTCATAACTTTGTATATAGATTACGAGATATAAGAATTATATTGAGAATACAGTAACATAGTAACGAGAATTATTGTTTACCAAAAGGCAATAACCCAAAGACTAAGTTCTCAGATTCTTTGTTTCCTTGTGTTTTTCTCTGCATCTTCATTTATTTGTTTAAATTGTCATCTATGGTATTTTATTTAATGGTGTATATTTGTTCTGTTTCGTGCATGCCCATTTTAAATAGAGTGTAACTGCTGCATTACACATGCACTTACAAACTTACAAAGCTACCCCTGCATATGTGAATATTCTTATTTGAATTTACACTTTGTCTGCTCTTCTTAACAGGTTGGACAGAAGTTTCGCTCCCGATCCCTGAAGTTTCCAGGGTTGACTTCTGGCTGTACAATGGACTGGTTCACCCCTTGGCCCAATGAGGCTCTGGTGGCTGTATCCAACTACTTCTTGTCAGAGTTTCCCATGGTTTGCTCAACTGATGTGAAGGCTTCTGTGGTGACCACCATGGGTACATATCATGACAAAGTATCTGATGCCTGTGAAAGCTACTTTGAAAGGTATAACACACAAATCACATGTAGTTCACATTGTTACATTGTAATTGAAATTTCAGACAATCTTAGTTCTAAGACCAGAAACATATTTCACACAAGCTTAAAGTTGTATTCTGTGCTATCTTTCAGGTTTCGAAGAAAAATTCATGTCACCCCTAAATCCTACCTCTCTTTTATAAATGGTTACAAAACGCTGTACACTGAAAAGTACAACTATATCAACACACTAGCAGAGCGCATGAATGTTGGTAAGGAAAGTTTAACAGCTCGGATATGACGTGCTACTTTGGAAGGTTTACTCTGGGAAAGGATTTTAAAAGATGTTACTGATTTTCAGGGTTGGCCAAACTGATGGAGGCTAGTCAGTCTGTGGCTGAACTATCCAAATATCTTGAAGTCAAGGAAAAAGAGTTGGCTATAGCATCCGCCAAAGCTGACAAGGTAAATAATAATACAGACTCCAGCCTCCCATGACGCAAGATAAGGTTGTACATTAGGGCTGCCACAAACAATTATTTTTCCATCAGTTAATCTGTCAACTATTTTACAGATTAGTCGATTCATCTTAACAATTACTTTTCATTTTATTTTGACAAACTAAATCATTGTACAATGCAGCACAAAGTAAAATGTAAACAAAGGTTTACATATTAGAGTGCAAAACTGTAGATTTAAATTGGCAACTCCAACATGTTAAAAATAAATATATGTGATTTTAGCAGCTACATGGACAAAAGATATTTAGTAAAGTAAAGATATTAAAAAGCTCTACATACTAATAAATAGAAGCCTTCTCTGGTAGTCCATCATCCAGAATAGTCCCTGGTTGTTTTCTCTTCAAGTGCTCATGCATAGTGCGCCATTTTTAAAACTGTAGTGTTGACTGGAGCCGACCAATGACTGGAACTAAAAACAACTGACATCATGATGCAGCAACTACAGTGTTATAAAAAAAACCCAACATGTTAGTACAATACAAAATATTGAATTGTACAAAATATTGTGTTTTATTGATGTCAACGCCATCGATTATGGACACTGATCGCTATCCATCCAGGTAATGGATGGCTAGTTATGTGTAACTTGTCTCAAATCAGAATTTATGAAGTGACATAAAGAGCATAAAAGGTAGTGGCAATTAGTGGACATGAATTTTGAAAAAAAACTTAAAGAAACACAACAGATTTCATTCAATGGACATTTTACCCAGGTGTGTGAAAAGACTAGATGAAAGGTCAACAGGTTGTGGACATTTATGTGATACAATTCATTGCGTAACACATTTCTCTTTGCATTCACTTAGGTGGTGGCAGAGGTGACGGTCAGTGCTGAAGCTGCCACCATTGTAAAGAATGAGGTCCAGGTTGTGAAGGATAGAGCCCAGAAACTTGTGGAGGGAATTGGAAAAGAAAAAGCTATTGCTGAGGAAAAACTGGAAGCTGCCAGGCCAGCTTTAGAAGAAGCTAAAGCTGCACTTAATGTGAGATCTGTGATGGGGTTTTTTTTAGCACATTTGTGTATTTAATCCATTTATATTCTACCTCATGATTTTACTTTTTACTAATTTTTACAGACCATCAAGCCTGCTGACATTGCCACTCTGAGAAAATTGTCCAAACCTCCACATCTGATTATGAGGATTATGGACTCCTGCCTTCTTTTGTTCCAAAAGAAGTTAGACTCTGTCTCTATTGATCCAGAGCTACGCTGTGTTATTCCATCATGGGGAGAAGCACTGAAGGTAACTAAAATCCTTGATATGAATTTTAAGGTTTTGCAATTCTGCTCCATTTACTTGCAACCCGCAAATTGTAAGAGCTTTCTGTAAACCCATAAAGAGAGATACAACTCTGTTTGTATGTTCTAGTATGCATGTTTTGTAGTGTAATAACAGTAATGATAAAAATAATAATAGTGATGTGTTCAACATTGTCAAGTTACTTATGGCTCTCTTTTCTCCAATTTTCTTCCTCCACACTTAAGCTCATGAGTGCTCCAGGTTTTATGAACTCACTCCAGCAGTTTCAAAAGGACAAAATTAATGAGGAAACAGTAGAACTGCTGCAGCCCTACTTTCAGATGGTGGATTACACAATGGAAAATGCCAAGAAAGTGTGTGGTAATGTAGCTGGTCTGCTAGAGTGGACCCGGGCTATGGCCACATTCTTTGGCATTAACAAAGAAGTGCTGCCACTCAAGGTAAAGTCAATTTTAATCATGACCGCTAAACATTTTGACATAGTTGACATAGTTGACTATTGTACTTTAGTTATGGTTCAAAACTTTCTACTTTAAGCCTTTTTCAAAGCCATTTGAGGTGCATAGTGTAGTCTTTTTGTCATGATTCCTGTCTCAGCCCTGCTGTTTATGTTCATTCTGCCTCCGTCTCCTGCCATACTCCACCCACCCACCAGAGGTCATCAGACTTTCCTCCTGTTCCCAGAGCCACATGCTCATCTGTTTCCCATTTCCAATCACTGGAACTTCCCTACCTACCTACACACCTTTTTCTCATTTCCCTTTTTCTCATTTCCCTCGTTTACTCCCCTGCATTTATACCAGCCCTTTTTCACCATGTTCATGCTGTTTACACTCATTCTTGTTACCTTGCTTGCTACCTGTATTTTGTTACCTATGGTCTGTTAACCTGTCTGCCTGCCTCCTTGCCTGCAAGCCTTGCCTCCAACATTTGTTCTATTAAAGTAAATTCACTGCACTAGCCTGTCTTTGTGTCTGTGTCTTGGGTCCTCCCTTCCTGTGCTCTTATCACCAGCCATGACATTTTTAGCTCATAGCCCTTTGTATTTACTGTATTAAGTATAATAGTGATTAAGAATTAAGAATAATGCAGATTTTTTTTATGCCATCTGTTGTGTTGTGGTATCAACTTCACTACCATTTATCTATGTCCAGGCTAACCTGGCCATTCAGGAAGGCCGGCTCAGAGCGGCTAATAATGAGCTGAGCAAGGCTGAGGCTCAGCTGGCTGAGAAGCAAGCGGAGTTTGACAAAGTCAAGGCCAAATGTGATGCTGCTATGAAAGAGAAACAGGTGTCGTTTAGCCTTAAAAACATTTTTAATAGTACTTTTACTTTAAACTAGAAATTAATATTGTTGATCACTTAAAATGTCATGATTTTCAGGATTTGTTGGATGATGCTGAGATGTGTAGGAATAAAATGCAGGCTGCGTCTGCACTTATTGATGGACTCAGTGGAGAGAAAATTCGATGGATAGAGCAAAGCAAAGAATTTAAATCACAGATCAACAGGTATGTTACAAAGAACTGAATTTAATAATGAAAAATTATATTTCCAAGGGACACAAAATTAATTTTTATTACCATTTAGTTATCATTAGTTCTGACTTTTCAGAGGATGTTGTTATATTATTATAATTTATTGATCATGAAACCCATTTGTTCTGTTCTTTCTGGCAGACTTGTGGGTGACGTACTCCAGCTCACTGGCTTCTTGTCTTATTGTGGGCCATTTAACCAGAGTTTCCGCGACATGTTGTTGAAGGAAATCTGGGAGGCAGAGCTAAGGAGTCATAAAATCCCTTTTACAGAAAACCTCAACCTCATTTCTGCCCTTGTGGACCCTCCCACTGTAAGAGCAACATAAACTTAATTTTGATTTTTACCTAACTACTACCTTCGCAAAAAGTTGAAACACAGTTGAAACACATTCACACTCCTGTATATGTTCCAGATAAGTGAGTGGAACCTTCAAGGACTCCCAGGAGATGACTTGTCTGTGCAGAATGGCATCATTGTCACAAAAGCAACACGATATCCTCTCCTCATCGATCCCCAGACTCAGGGAAAAACTTGGATTAAAGAAAAAGAAAAGGCCAATACACTTCAAGTAAACAGTGAAATGCAGCATAGTTGTGTCATTTTTACCCAAATTAGGTGTTTTGGTAACATATATATGGAGGTAATCTGTGATCTCTCTTTCAGGTGACATCATTACACCACAAGTTCTTTCGCACCCATCTGGAAGACTGTCTTTCCTTGGGACGCCCACTGCTTATTGAAGATGTAAATGAGGAGCTGGACCCTGCCCTTGACAATGTCCTCGAGAAAAACTTTATTAAATCTGGGACCAGTTTTAAGGTAAACAGCTGTAATATCCACTTGAAATCAACAATACAACTGTACAATACAACTGTGTCCTCTCTTCAATTCTTGGATTTGACTTGTGTAGGTTAAAGTGGGAGACAAAGAGGCAAATGTGATGGATGGCTTCCAGCTCTATATAACCTCCAAACTTCCTAATCCAGCATACACACCAGAAATCAGTGCCAAGACATCCATCATTGATTTCACTGTAAACATGAAGGGCCTTGAGAACCAGCTACTCGGTCGTGTCATCCTCAAAGAGAAACATGTCAGTTGCTATTTTTTTCCACTTGACATGTCTGTTGAGTTAGCAGAGTTGAATCAATGTTTTATCTTATATTACCTTGTTATTATAGTATTGAGCATGAAGAGGGAACTGAGAAAAAAGAATCCATTTTCTATGTCTGAACTAAATTGTTTTCTCTTCTGTGTTTACAACTTAAAAATATGTGAAAGTTTTTTCACTTGTTTTAAAGTTATAAACAAAGAGAAAACTATTTAGACCCGACTTAGAAAATGGATCACCAGAATTTTTTGCTTCACTTATCACTCTGGGTTTCCATAATCTTGCCTTGGGCTGCACATGAATTTTAAGTTCCATTAATAAATTGTAAGTTATTTAAATCATTTTAACAGGAACTAGAGGCAGAAAGACTGAAGCTAATTGAGGATGTAACAGCCAATAAGAGAAAGATGCAGGAGTTGGAAGACAACTTGCTGTACAAACTCAGCAGCACAAAAGGTACAACAGTTACTGGTATAGGTTAGTGCCATACTTGTAATGTATTTATGTACTTTTCAAAATAAAAACATGTTTTGTTTTTCTGATTGAAGGATCCTTGGTTGATGATGACTCCATGATTGGCATTCTGAGTACAACTAAGCAAACTGCTGCTGAAGTTAGTGCAAAGCTCAGTGTTGCAGCAGATGCAGAGTTGAAGATCAATATGGCTCAAGCTGAATATCGTCCCGTTGCCTCTCGAGGAAGCATCCTTTACTTCCTCATCACAGAGATGAGCATGGTCAACGTGATGTACCAGACCTCCCTGGCTCAGTTCCTCAAAATCTTTGACCTCTCACTGGATAGGTATGGTTTCACCAATACTGGTTTAAGTACATCTGAACAATCATGGTGCTTCTTTTGAGTATGAAGTATGGGGCTGTAACAGCTTTTGTACTATGGACCTTATACTTCACACTATGCTGCAACAAATTAACACTGAGTTGCACTTCAACCATGGCTTACTCTCTCCACTCCAACAAATGTGTCTAAAAAGAAGAGGTATTAAACTAAGTAAAATGGCATTTTTTTCCTTTGCAAAGTGGCTAGCCTATAGCTGCTGTAAGGCCTTCTTTGGTGTATTGATGATAAAATAATTGCAGACATTTTGTCTCTCAGTATCATGTTTACTCTGTCATTTTGTCACATTGGGACACCTTGTTGCACATCTGTTTCTGTCTGTCCTCTGTTTACTATTGTTAATATCATAAATATGTTTTTGCAGGTCTGAAAAGTCCTCTAAAACTCAAAAGCGAATCCGAAACATTATTGAATATCTGACCTTTGAGGTGTTCAGATACACAGTAAGAGGCCTTTACGAAAACCACAAGTTCATCTTCACACTCTTGGTGGCCCTCAAGATTGACTTACAGAATAACAAAATCGAGCAAAATAAATTTCAGATTCTTATTAAAGGTAAGATAATCACCACTTCTAAGAAAAGTTTAAGTTGCCTTTTTGTTATTTGGTTTCCTAAAACATGATAATTTCTTTGTATAATGAAATAGGTGGTGCAGCTCTTGACCTAAAGACCTGCCCCTTAAAGCCATACAGTTGGATCCTGGATATGATATGGCTAAACTTAGTGGAACTCAGCAAATTGCCACAGTTCACTAACATCTTAAACCAGGTGAGCTTAAGCTCCACTAATTGGTATTTAAATCCTCCATGAAAGTTTCCTTACAAGGTGTTGCTATTGACACATTTTGAAGGTGTCTCACAATGGGAAACACTGGAAAGCATGGCTCAATCTTGATGCCCCAGAGGAAGGTGTAGTTCCAGATGGATACAACGCCCTTGATGTCTTCCATAAACTTTTGCTAATAAGGTTGGATCCTACTGCTGCTTGTGTTTCTTGTTCGTTCTAATACATAATATGATATTTAGTACAATTATCTTACAAGTTTTTTCTTTGACAGGTCTTGGTGCCCTGACCGTACCTTGTCTCAGGCAAGAAAGTACGTGGGAGAATCCATGGGTATGAGGTTTGCTGAGCCGGTCCTCTTGAACCTTCATAACACATGGGAGGAGAGTGATCCTCGCACCCCTCTAATTTGCTTCCTGTCAATGGGCTCAGATCCCACTGACCAAATTGAAGCACTTGCTAAGAAACTCCAACTGGGTGAGCTTTAAAGCCCTCTTAAACTTACAGCTTTTATAAAGCTTCTCATCGTAACCCTGAGGAATTATTTCTTGTGCTGTATGTCATGATATCCTCACATTGTGTCCTATAGAATGCAGAGCTATATCCATGGGGCAAGGACAAGAGGTTCATGCAAGGAAGCTTGTTCAGACATCCATGACACAGGTGTTTATTCTCAGTTAATGAAGTAGTAAGTTGTATGGATGTATGTTTACAAAGTGATGGCTAACTGTTTCACCTGATCTGTGGCCTCTGTATGTGGATGTGTATAGGGGGGCTGGGTCCTTTTGCAAAATTGTCACCTGGGCTTGGAGTTTATGGATGAGTTGCTCGAAACTATCACAACTGCAGACACCATGCATGATACTTTCAGAGTATGGATCACCACAGAACCACACAACCGATTCTCCATCACACTCCTACAGGTGACACTTTACAAAGCTTGTATGTACAATAAGGTGTTATGAATTACTTCATTTGCTAGTTCGTATACATATCTAACCTACATAATACTGTGTTACTCTTATATACACTACATGCACAAGCTAAGGGCAGCTGAGCAAATGTTTCTCACCTCTTTACCTCTAGTCCTCTATCAAGTTTACCAATGATCCACCCCAGGGAGTGCGTGCTGGCTTGAAAAGAACATTTGCAGGAATTTCACAGAACCAGTTGGAAGTCAGCAACCTGCCCACGTGGAAGCCTTTGCTGTACAGTGTGGCCTTTCTCCACACTGCTGTGCAGGTAGTGGTCATTTGCAAGGTCACTGATGAAGTATAAGAGCTTTATTTAGAGGAGCCAATGACAAAATGCTTAGCCCTTGGCACAGTTCAGACTAGAAGCAGAGCAAAATATTATAGGAATAGGAAACCTGACATAGCCCTACTTGATAATTCTTATTTTCTGAGATAAAGGTTATTTACTTTAAATCATATTGGATGCGCATTGGTTTGATTCTATACATAATTTGTTTTGTTACTTCTTTCTTTGAGGAACGACGCAAATTTGGACCACTGGGTTGGAACATACCTTATGAGTTCAATTCTGCTGATTTCACTGCAAGCGTCGAATTTGTTGAGAAACACTTGGATGATTGCGGTCCCAAGAAGGTGAGAATTCAGCAGTCTAACTTTATATATTTTCTTGTCACCTTAGCTCACTCATCATTATGTATTTTTTTCCCCCTCACAGGATGTGTCATGGGTAACCGTGCGGTACATGCTAGCTGAGGTGCAATATGGAGGAAGGGTTACAGATGACTATGACAAACGCCTGCTCAAGTGCTTTGCTCGTGTAATGACCCCATTTTTGTGTTTGTTCGTGTGTTATATCTCCTTGATTAACATTTATCAAATTTATTACAATACTTTTGTGTTTTTAATTGCAGGTGTGGTTCAGTAAAAAGATGTTTGACCCATCATTTTGCTTCTACACGGATTACAAAATTCCAGTGTGCAAGACAGTAGTGGAGTACATGGAATACATTGAGAGCTTGCCGACTGTAGATTCACCCCAAGCGTTGGGGCTGCATCCTAATGCTGATATCACGTAAGGAGACATCCTAAAACTATTTATGATGATAATGTGTTATAGTAAAATGTGTAATGTTATTACTAACATAGCATTTTTGCTTTCTGTTAAATGTTGACCAGGTATCAGACAAACACATCTGCTGAAGTACTAGACACAATCACAAATATTCAGCCCAAGGAAAGCGGAGGGGGATCAGGAGAGACTAGAGAGTCCATTGTTTACAGCATGGCAGAGGACATGTTGGAGAAACTGCCCCCTAATTATGTGCCACATGAGGTCTGTTTGTTTGACCATTAGTGTTTTAGTTACCAATTCTTGCACTGACTAAAATCTAAACTAAACTCTTTTATGGGTTAAGGTCAAAGACAGGCTATTGAAGATGGGAGCTCTGAGACCAATGAACATCTTCCTACGTCAGGAGGTGGATCGAATGCAAAGGATCATCCGTGTGGTGCGCACTAGCCTGACTGACTTGAAGCTAGCCATTGATGGCACTATCATAATGAGCGAGGTCAGATTGTTGCACTTAAAATACTAACCTCAATACATGTTTGCATTTTAATTCTAACATTTCCCACAGTTCATATTCACTGGATATTTGTATACTGAAACACTTTAAATGTAACATGTAAAAATGTATTCTATTCCTAAACTATGTTATGTTTAAACTATCTTTCAAATTAGGATTTTTTTTTAGGGGTTAAAGTGAAACTACTGATCTGTACTTGACTCTTAGAACCTCCGTGACGCCCTGGATAATATTTTCGATGCCCGTGTGCCAAATCTGTGGAGGAAAATCTCCTGGGAGTCATCCACACTGGGCTTTTGGTTCACTGAGCTTCTAGAGAGAAACAAACAGTTCCGCAGCTGGGTGTTTGATGGAAGACCCAAAACCTTTTGGATGACAGGCTTCTTCAACCCACAGGGTAGGTAACAGGTTTTTGTGGAGTAAGGCATTTTCATAGCTGCCTTTCACCAATAAATAGAACAACTAGACTGGTTGTATAAATGCTTGTCCTAAGTCATTGTAGTCTTCACTGTAGTTAATAGATTTACCGTGATTTATTGAGAAATGCTGAGTTTATTGGTGGTAAGATGTGCTAAAATTAGGAACTGTCGCCATAGGTAAGGTTGATTTGTATTCAGATCAATGTGTGCTCATGTCTTACCTGGGGGATGTTTACAGGGTTCCTGACAGCCATGAGACAAGAAGTAACCAGGGCAAACAAAGGCTGGGCTCTGGACACTGTCACCCTGCACAACAAAGTACTGAAGCAGGGAAAGGAGGAGATCACAGCCTCCCCTTCAGTGAGTCAAAAAGCATGAAATTACTAACAATACACCAATTAATAATAGTCAAACATAAATCTCATATTCAGTGTACATTAACATTTATGATAAACCAGGTTGGACATTTGCAAGTGCAACAGTATTGTCTGCACATACTGACTGATGTGAAACAAGTGAACAATTAATAGCTATTATTTTAGAAAACATTCATTGATCTGTCACTGATGACCTTCATCAACAGGAGGGAGTTTATGTATATGGTCTGTTCCTGGATGGTGCTGGCTGGGACAAGAAGAACACCTGTCTCACTGAGTCCTCACCCAAAGTGCTTTTCATACCTTTGCCTGTCATCCATATGTTTGCCGTCAATTCCACTGCACCGGTGGATCCTAAACTCTATGTCTGTCCTATCTACAAGAAACCAAGGCGCACAGACTTGAATTACATCACAGCTGTGGTGTTGCCCACCATCAAGTCACCAGACCACTGGATCTTGCGTGGAGTTGCCCTTCTCTGCGACATCACATAAAACATGACTGACATGTCTTTATCAATGTGTAATATTGATTAAAGGGAAAATAAATATATTTCTTTGTCAAGAGGTATACTTATTGTAAGTATTGATCGTTACTATTAAATTGCCATATAAAATTGAAGTATTACACGAAAAGAAAAAGTATGCTTTACCATTGAGAATGGATGGTCTATTAGCTGACAAATCATTCCAGTGGTATAAAGCAATGCTGAGTAATGGTCATTTTACCCTTTTATACAATTAATGTTCCAGGAATGAGTATATTTGCCAGCTGTGTGACCTCTCAATTGCTGAACTTAAATTACCTTTTAATGGAAAAACTTCTAGTGCTTCATTTAGAAAAGTCTGTAATCTGATGGTCAATATCAATACTTTTGAGTTCTTTTTCATCAGACTTAAAAGGCTTGATAAGGCTATTCTGCATATATTGTAAAGAAATTCTGATAGGCATGAGTGAGGGGTGAGCTCTCCCCAATCAAGTAAGCAGCTACACGTAAATTATTTGGGCATGATTTGGGTCACATGGTCATGAAAAACCTGGGGAAATCATGGAATTTTTGAGTAGCAATTACCAGGCCTGGATAATTTTTGAAAAAATAAATAAACCCTGAGGCTTTGGAGAAATCTGCTTCACAAATACCTGTGTAATAGAGTAGATGTGCTTCTCTTAAGATCGGCCGAGAAAACAAGTTATAGGATTAATAAAATTTGTTGGAGCAGATTATTTTAGTTACGTCATTTTAGGATATATGGTACTCTGCATATATGACGTCACATTCTGACCAGGATTGCTACTTGTACTTGAAGGAGATAAATTCAAACAAAGCCAGATAGAAAAAAAAACTATTTAATAATATCTGGCTTAACTTGGGCAAATATATGGCATTAATTGAGAGAGACCAGAAACCAGGACCTGCAAAATGTCCACTGTGAAGTAAATCGTTTGACACGTCGAACATGAGCCTGGTAGTGCTTGCTAGCCATGCTAAAGCAGCTAAGCACCAGGCTGCTGCGTGCGAATCACCGCAAATCCCGACCAACGTAATTCCCGCTTCTAGCTGCAGTGCTGCCCGCCACCAAACAAGGGACAGAGTCGGGTGCTGTTTCCAGAAACGAAGCTCCAACTGCAGAGGTACTGTGGCTTAAAGTGACTAATTCTACCACGGCGAAGATAGTTTTAGGTTGGATATTCGACAGCCATTGAATCAGGATCTAATGGCGTCTTCATACTCAGCTTCACCCAGTGTTAGCAGTGAGTGTATAATACTGTTAGGCCACATGCAAGCCCTCGCTCTTAACCACAAGGGAGCATAATTACCATATGAATTACATAAACCAATGTTATTTTCAATACCTAGAAATGCCATAAAAATATAATTGAAGATATCACTGTAATCAAACTATATCATCCCACAGCAACCTATTCATCTCCATGTCTGTTCTGTACACACAGGACTAACACAGCTGGATGTCTTTTCACAGTGTTGCCAAGGTCACAGCTACTGAAGTACAGGGCTGTCAAGTTTACCACCAACATGTTTTGTTGCCAACCATCCTGTCAGTGCTACTGGGTGTAGTGGAAGAAGGTAAGAGTAATCTATTGGATCTTGCTGGTTTTTATGAAATGACAGAGATGTTGATGCTGACCCTTATTTTATATACAGGATGAGAGTAGAGATGAAACCAGGAAGACAACCACCACACCACTCGGGCCCACACTCATTCAAGCTGTGAAAGGAAGGCAGGTAAGTCATACTGGGGAAAGGCCAACACAAAAGTTGTGGTTGTAGGAGCATTTGTTTTGGTCTGGGATGCTGGCGCTCTAGTGTGACATCTAGTGGAAGTGAATATATATACCCTTTAAAATCTGCAGCAGTCTCATCTCATGTTTGGATTTCAAATATCTACAAAAGAGGGGAAGAAGTCTATAACTTCTGTAGACTATATTCTATATTAAAAAACAAACCTTGTGTTGTCTGTCTAGTTTCCCTTTAGTTGCATCCAGGACTCACTAATATGGTTTCTAAAGATGAGTATTAGAGTTAGTTATGCATTTATTTAGTCAGTAAAGGTTACAATGAGTTACAGGGAGTGAATTTCAGTCAATGAAATGAAAGGAACATTAAGCCATTAACGTGTGCTGGTGCATGCCATGCACATGAGTGTAAGATAAGTAAGAAAGTGCTGTTTGAGTGATGTGTGTTTTCTCAAAGTAAACACTGGGCCAAAGACGAGCAACTGGCGCCAGCCATCAACTTCCCCCCACCCTCTGAGTGATCTGCAATTATGTCAAGAGGGGAAAATGGTGTCCCTTTGAAAAGTGTTCTTAATCAAACCCAATTAATTCCGCTCCTTTCCCTTATTATTTCCACCGTGGACCACGTCCCGCTAGTCAGCCTGTTAACTAGAGCCTGGGCCCCAGCGAAGGTCATGCTTGACCAAGCAAAATAACATAATAATGTGTGTAATTAATTACTAGTTCTGGGTGCGTCTCTTGCAGTTTCTGGATGTTGCTACATTAAGTCTTTCTGACAAAGGTGTGGTGAGAGAGGGTTATCACTAAATATAGCATAGTCGAGACACTTTTCATCTACACCCTTCCACTGATTTATTGTGCCTAACTACTCAAGCATATAACTGGTGTGAATATTTATCAACTGTTCTCCCTGTAAAATTAAAGTATAGCAATTAATAGCAGGGTAGACAGAGAAATAACTTTTTAAAGTTCACAATGTCCTATCCTTGACAATTCCATAGTGCAAAGGTGGTAAGTGGCCTACATATTATTTTGTAAACCTTTTTATAATTTTTATGTTCCCAAGAGTAAACTCAGCCAAGACTCTTCTGTTCTTGTCTCAAAGGCAAACACATAAGCACTTGCTCAAACACTAGTATTATTCTTACAGACAAGTCTAAAGCAGATTTAGTGCACAGTATAGAAAGTGGTTGAAATGCATTCATACTATATTATTTTCTCAACATGTCTGGAAGGGTTTGAACAGCAGTAGTCCATTTTACATGAAAAAAACTAGGGCTGTTTTTATTTTTGTCCTATTTAAATGGTTTATTCTAAAAGGTTATAACCCAACTCATCAGTTTACTGCTTATAGAGTGCTGCCTCAGCAAACAGTTGTCTTTGGTATTTGGGACACTGTAAACTGAGGTATTTACCACACTAAGAAAAAATAACAGACCATACAAATAATATTTCAATTTCTGCCAAAGCTGCTAAGCTTCTAAAATAAGCTTCTTCACACATAAGGGTTATTCATTTTCACTTCTTCCCTTTAGAGAAGTTGTGTACACCATTGGTCCTTTGTAATCTAGTGACCCTATACCAACTTCCAAATATATTTTACTATAGATAATAAAATAGATTTGGAGATAGATAGAAGTTGTGAGGCATTTGAACAACACATCTTGATGATGTCAACTTAAAACAAAACACTGACTAAGTCACAAAAAATGGTGGATATTAAGTTTAGGTTGTCTAAGTGCTCAGATGCAAAATAGATCACTATTCAGACCTCCATCCCCCCAAAAATTGGAGCAGTTAAGCCACACAGGCTACTGGAGGGCAATTAGAGTTTGAGCCCTTATGGCCTCTGCAGCCTAGCAGGCGGGGCCTCCTGACACCCCTGGTTGGGCCTGATGGAGTGGAGCTTCATCTGCCTAACGGCCTGGCAAAGCTCCACAGGCCTGGACGAACACAACAGGCCTCCATCAGGCCAGCTTGCTCTGTCACAGCTTACATGGCCTATTGTACGCCAGCGCTCATTAACGGCAGTAAGTCATGTTGGTGGCTCACTAATGGATGTGTGGAAAGAAAAACAAAATCCACAGCCAAAGTGCTTCTACAGAAGTGCTACTGTAACTTTATTCTGTGTTTTGCACATGGAAAATTAATGTCACAATTTAAAAACTTGAAAGAACTAGAAATTAGTATATAATTATATTGAAAACTGATGAAAAAGATAATAAACATCCACATACATTTATAAATGTTTCTCCTAGTAAAAAGATATGTTCCTTTTTATTTCTTTGGCCTTTTAGTCCACTGTTATCAACAGGGATTAAAAACAAAATAAACAACAAAACCTATAAAACGGACAGTGTGGATGCTGCCATTTCTAAAGGCCATGATTTAGAGATAATTGATGATCATTTGAAGTGATGTTGATGATAAGTCGTCCTTACACTTCATAATGGTGTCCACTGAGGACTTTCCGTGGCAGGTGTGTGCCTCAAAGCGTTGGTAAGATGCTTTGCAAGTTACTATTCTCTTGAGCTACAGAAGAAATCACAATTAAAAAGATTTACTTTGTTAGCACAGCACCCTTCTGCATCAATTTAATGCACACACACCAAATGCACATGCAGTATAAAAAGACACACCCAGTATAACCATGACCTTATGTCTCTGAGCAAGGTCAGTGCAACGTCATCTCCTTCTAGTTGTGGTCCAACTGTTGCATTAAACTGTGCTATTCCCAAGAGGTAAGAGAGGCTGCTTGCACCCATTAACTTTCTCTGTTTATATTCACCTGACTCACTGAAGATGAATAGGGTGCACAATATACAACACAGATATGTCGCGCTGTACCTGTAACTTAGAAATAATATAAATGGACAAATTTAAGAGGAGTTAATCAGGTCTTGAAATGGGGTTTTCAGGGGCATCTGAGGGCATTCTGTCTATGGCTGAGAGGTTAATCGCTTTAAAAGCAGTAATTAGGTGTTAAGAGGTTAGTTTGTCTGTTTAAATTAGCCTCCAAGCCTGATCACACTCTGTGACTTCTGATAACCCCCCACACACCTACCCCACCAGGACTCCATGCTCACCAAAAGGCCATTTTAATGATTTAAATAAAAAAAACTCACATTGCCTTTAAACCCAAAACAAAGTTAAATTGAGGTGGGAAAATGGTTTTAAAATACAAATTTTTGCGCACTTTATAGCAACTGAAAATACAGTAAAAAAAAATGTACATGCCATCCAGTTAAATGAACAAAGAGAAAATCCAACCAAATAGACATGTAAAGAGAGAAACCATATTCATACTAAAACTGCCTAGTTCTCAATGACTAGATACCAGCAAACACCCTCAAAACGCAGTGCAGTGGTTATTACTGTAAACCTCGTGTTAACACTTCATGGGAGTAGGAAACCTTATACCCTGGAGACTGTAGACAGAGTTAGGGTAAGTATTGTGTATATTTCCACCAAAAAGGTCAGAACACCACTCAATTAAGACAGTAAACTTGTATAAATTTGTTGAAATTTGTCACCAATTAATCACTCAAATTGCAAAAACATTGCTACTTCTGACCACATGGCTCTACAAAGCCTCTCATACACTATACCGTATTTCAGATTGTCAATAATGTCTCAAATTCCTCTATTTAAAGTGTCAAAACATTCATGTTGAAGATTTTCTCTCACTCAAACAAAATAGTCTATTCCCCAACAATTTGAGCTAATCCAAAATTAAATGACCCCAGAGATTTGATAATTTATCCTTGGGGGTAAAACACAGTTCATTCAAAATGAATTGAATTTTAATGAATTTCAAAAAAATCACAAGAAGTTAATTTTGAAAGTTGCTTATTAGCATCAGTCAAAAAGATAGCAGACTTCAAACTCCTTTGGTGTCATGTATCCTCTTCATTGGTACATGAAACAAACAGTGGAAAAGCAGTTTGTAAACATTCATGGGAGCAGCTCAAAAATCCGTTCACAGTGCCCCATGAGATCACATGTGCTGCCAGGTTTTATCCATCGACTGAATGTGCTCTTTGGCCTTCATCCTGAGTGCTGCAATGCTAGAACTCCTGTCGTCCTCCATTGGGTATTTATCATTGAAGCTGGGAGGGCACTGGTAGGGAGGTGGGCCCATGGGCTGCATACCTTGGACCATGGCAGGCGGGGTGTTGAGGAAGCTGTGGCTTGGATATGCAGGCTGCAGGCCCTGCGGTGAGCCCATGAACCCAGGGATGGTATGCATAGACGTGGCACTGGAGATGGGTGAGGTCAGCCAGGGATCTAGGGGCATTGGGTTAGCCACTGGACTGGCATTGAGAGGCATTGGGGGGCGACTGAAGGATAACATGGGCGAATCGTGGAGCTTCATGGTGCTAGTGTCCATCTTTTCTTGACGTCTCCACTTGGCTCTTCGGTTCTGGAACCACACCTGAACATAGAGAATATAAAAAGATGAGATGGTGAAGTGAGGTGCAGGCACTGAGGCACAATGGCAAGAATAAAGCTATAAAAAAATTACAAAAAAAATGGAATGGATTGTGCTGTCCTCCACAGTGTACTTTCTGATACTACCATTAGGTGGTGCAGAAGTTGGAAACATTCAGATTTATTTTGATGTCCAAATTAATTTCCATTTAAAACTATTTTCATCTTTTTATGCATCCCTAATATATATGGCTGATCCAGTTCTTATTCAGAGGTAGTATGTGTAGTGACAATGGATTTGGAGGTTGCAGCAGTGGTTTGATGATAGGTCTTTGCAGCAAAGGGCAAAACAAAAAATAATGTATCTTGTAATTAAACGTGTTATGTTGGAGGTTAAGATATCGCCCAGTCTTTACCTGAACTCGAACCTCAGGCAAGTTGACTTTCATTGCCAACTCTTCACGGCTGTAGACGTCTGGGTAATGGGACTTCTCGAAGGCTCGCTCCAGCTCATGAAGCTGATAGGTGGTGAAGGTGGTACGGTTTCTTCTATGTTTCTTTTTAGTGTGCTCTTCCTCTATCATGGTGTCTGGAGACCCCTCAGCAACCTCCACTTCCTTCTGCAGGTCACTCATTTCTCCATCACACTTGTCACCGGAGAAAAGGTCAGATTCTTAAATAAAGGAGAGAGTACATATTGTAAGTTTTAATTTTTGTTTAGATGTCTTTCATTAAATGACCAAAACAGGTATCATTAACCATTTGTATTTTTTTCATATTAGGGATTCATATCTATAACACTTATCAGAATTAATGTAACATTTTTAAACAAACAACTGGTGTGCAACTGGTATCAAGCCAGTAAGCAGTCCTTAAATTTGCAAACACTAGCATCTTGACAAATTTTATAATGGCTGAGTAAAGCCAAGCATATGAGGACACAGCAAGGTGGAGCTGAGGGAGCAATTGAGGATCTCAGAGAAGTAGGAGTACTATATATGTAAAGCCACAAAGGCAAACCTCTCAGTACATCAGTTTAGGGACAGTTTTGTACATTACCCCACCAACAACTTAAAACTGAAGATTTATAACATTAATGAATAATTGGGAATTGATACCTCAAAGCCACTTTTTTTTTCTCCAAAACAACTTGGTTAGTATTTATTCATAATTCAAATGTTTTGACAGCTCAAGTTAATAGTCAAAATTGCAATAGTGCAAAAAAAAACCCAACAGTAACCTTACTGTAAGGTGTATATATATATGACATGCAAATGTCAGCTACAGCCCTGTTTGTTTTCTGTGCGTCTGGTGACTTGGCACCATATTTTCGTTGCTGATCAAATAGAGTTGGTAGCGTAGGCTCCCGCTGTTTCTGTCTAGCTCCTGGTCGACTTTTCTCAGCTTTAATCTTGGACTATAAGAGAAATAAAACACTTTTCAGACACAAATAATTTTGTTTTCCTGTTAAATAACACTGTCTATTAACGTTACAGACAGGCAGGACTGATAACGTTTGCTGCCTAGCTCCCACATTGACTGTAGTCGTTTTATTATTAGCCATAGCCGCTATCTTAATGATAACTTAACAGACGGCTAATGTGGCTATCAGCTAATTGCTAATATTTAAACGGCTAGCATTAACGTGTGCTGCCAGCCAGGTAAAATAATAATGCAAAATAATTCCAAACGGCACTTTTGCTTTTTTCAATTTCAACTAAAACAGGTTGCGATGGTCCTTCAGCTGCAGCACTTGCCATGTTAATTTAGTTTTATGCTGGCAACACCAGCCAGCTTGGTGTTGTGAACGTCAACTAGCGTTCATGTGTTCAGCTGTGAGTGAGAGGATGGGCTGTGTGCCTGCCTTTCTGCAGTGGTGCTGTATGAAGTTGTGTGTCAACTGGAGGTGAAGACGGCATTGTGCGTATCGATACTGTTGCAAATGAGTACATAATCCGATACTAATACTTTTAGTATCGATTAGTAGTATCGTTTTTTTTGACAACCCTCATTACTTGTAATAAAAATTTGCTTATTACCTTTTATTTGTTTCTTTGAAATCAAATAAATGAGGAATGAATTTGTACTTGATCTACTATATATTGTCTTTTATCAAGTTTTAAGCCAAAAACATGTTACCAAAAGAAAACATCTTTATTTATGTGTGATTGATCATTTCATTTTAATATATAGTCTGATCAAAAAGTGAAATCTTCCCATCATGATAAAACAGCTTAATGACTGATGAACTTCTATATTGCTGAGGGTTTGTGAACCCCAGGGGTTTGGGGAGTCCAAATGACATCAAGTCTTTCACTGAATTCTTCCCTTGCAGTAATCCCATAGTAACAGATGCTACCAGTTAAAGCTCCGAGTGCCCGCCTCCTCTAATCTAACAAGGGATTTTAGTTGGCTTCTGCACATGCCTAGTACAGTCATAGTCCAGATTGTGTCTTCCAAGAAATTGATGTACAGCAAGTGAGCCATGTGTGTGATGCCTCTGAGCTCGTTAATCATACCAAATCACTTAAGGCAGTTTGGTCAGCAGATCATTGGTTTGAAATAAGGATGCCAAGTAGCAAAAGCTTTGTTTTCAAAGTAGGTTGTTGTGCTATTAAGATTGTTCTGAAGCTCCAGTTTATTATCTCTGTAGCATACTACAGAGATAACCATATGCAAAGGCCATAAAGTAAATCCAGGCAATAAATAAAGGTATGTAGCCTGCAGTATCAGTCATGTCTTATCATATATCATATATACATACTAAAAGTGTGATGGTATAAAGTAAAAGAATCAATCTTTCCCATTGACTTCATTTAAAAGATAATACTACTTAAATCTTGCTCCTTAAATGGTTTTAATTTTTTACGACAGAAAAAGTACCAAAGGTTTCATGGAAATACAAATTACTCCTGTCCTATACACTAATTCACTTCTGCACTGTTGATGTGTTCCTGCTCTTCCATCAGACAGAAATGCTCAGTCCTAGCTCACGCACTGGCTTATGTCTGTTGTGTTTATGCTCTTGTGGTTATTTTACTAATTAAGTGTTTCTGTTTTCAGCTATTAAGCATGATCATTTGCACTGCAGGCATATATTCACACAGTTATATCCTATATATAGAGATAATTAGTTTGTCTCTTGGTAGCTAAAAATCTGCAGTTTCCAGGCGCCACAGGATGTAAATGAAATCTTTCTAATTTGAATGAGTAACAGAAGGCCACATTCAGGCATGGTTACCCAAAAACAATAGAGTGGAAATTGCTTATTGATTATAGGTGTCCATAATTCTACAGCACTGTTGTGTTTGTAGCTTTTTGCCAGGTCAGTATAGTAGTAATTTTTAAAATACCTTAGAGCTTGATCGGTTTCATAAATCATTTGAAAGAATATAACAATGTTATATTTGATAACTTAAGCATACGGCAGGTGAATATCATGTTTACAACAGGATTTAATAAGAATTTTAGGATATAAGTAGTTGTAAAACAAAGGCGATTGAACATCCCTCATCACACCCAAATTTAGCAGATTTGCAGTCAGTCGTTATGGCTAGCAACAGGCTGATTTCACTGGCTTTTTTTTCAGCCAGACCCACCAGTGCCTCCATACTTGCGTCAGCCAAGAACACTATTTTACATTTCAGTATCCCAAAATTACCAAATACAACACGTAAGGCGGCCTGAATGGACCTTTCTCACAATGAACAAAGCAAGAAGAGGGCCGGTGTAACTAATTACATTAATCTAGGCTCACTCCCATACAGGTGTGTCAGTAAGTAACAATACCTGGGCCCTGGCACTAAAGCACCTGAATGGAATCTAACTGTTTTTCATATTAGTAGCTTCACGTGTGTTTGAAAAGTTGGATAAAAAAAAAAAAGAGAAAAACCTGTTACAAGGAAATGTATGTAAAATGATGAACACATTTAATGGTAACAAGTAATAAACATTGCAACTTGTTTTTTTTTTCTGTGTAAACTTCATATAGAATAAATCTAATTTCAAAACAGCAGACACAGAATCTACATGTTTGTTATTAAGCCATCCTTCTTTGGCTGCCGTTTATATTTCTGTTGTTATATAGCACTGCAAATGTGAGTGTATAGTGACATAAAATTATATTTTCTGAGAGTTATTTAATCTTTAGAGGGAGGCACACAAATATACAGTACCAGTCAAATGTTTGGACACATTTCTTTATGTGAATGGGAAAGTGCGTCCAAACTTTTCTACTCAGCGTGTTTGGACAAAAAGTAAAAGTTACATTTATATAAATCACATTGCTGTAATTTTAGACAACCAAATAACTCATCATTACAGTCTTTGCTAAAAGGTGACATTGAACGTCTTTATGGAAGAGCACTGGTCCAATACATTGCGCAAACTGTGTGGGAGTATTGCGTACGAGACTGGGACAAACTTAGTACAGCTCTAATTCCACGTGTTGCATGGGTAAAGACAAAATCCCCTGAACTCATTATGATACTGAAGAAATGTTTCAGAGAGTTTTTGTGCCTGACTCTTCTTTTCTTAAAAGACTCACCATGGTAGGAAGAGTGTTGGGAGCTGTCACCCAGTTCTGGAAGGTGCCCATAGGGGTCTGATGGAACCTGCTTTTCAGGGTGCTGTGGGTTTTCTTCATTGGCTTTATGGCTGTCATCATCTCCTACCGAATGGAGTAAAGGGTCCTGGTCTTTAGTGAACCCTAGTATGACATCAATACTGTGGACCCTGCCTCCACTGCTTGAACCGGCACCTTTTGCCATATCATAGTTGTCTAGGCAACTATCGTCCACAATTCCCAGGGTATCCATTGACAAATGCATCCGATCCTTTAGAGACACTTTCTCTCTTCCTTGTCAGAAAAAAATCAAACTGCTACCAAGTGAGAAAAGACAAAGCAGCTGTTGCACAGAGCTCTTCTGTCTCACATGCAATGGAGCAGCTTTGTGTGAAGCGTGAGGGCTGTATCCTTCGAGGTTAACTTCCGTGGGGTTCAATGTATTATCTCCACAAAAGCAGAACAAGCTCACATCTTCGTCTGCAAAAAAAAAAAGAAAAAAAGTCAAATCAGCATAAATAGAACAGGGCTGTGCACTTAGATATAAAAAGTAAGTTAATGGCTTGTCAGTAGTCTTGACTGTTTTTACATGAGTTGTAGTGGAAATTAAACATGTTAACATTCATGACTAAGTTTATTTGTTTAAAGATAAATTACTTTAAATAGTCTGTGTGAATATCTTCTAGAAATTTCTTTTTTTTTCTACAGCAAGAAACTTTACCAAGGAATGCTATGTTAGCATAATTTCCATTATGACTGATAATCAGAATCATAAACAGTTATGTATTGTTGACTACATACAGGGGACACAGGGGACAAGCAGCTATCAGATAAAATAAATAGGAGGAATTCATAAGTGAAACAGTTAGGAAATCTTTGCTCTTTACACTGACACATTTTGGGTCTATGAATATGTTTAGTTTATAGTGCTTTGAAAAAATAATCAAATTATCTTTCAACTGTTTTACTAACTGTTTCCCATCAGTTTTTACTTATACCTTTTGAACGTCAGCATGTATGAAGGTATGCAGTTTATTTTGTTTAAAATAAATCAAAGACATCTGAGACTGTCTTGAGAGTCACTAAAAGGCAAGCTGCACTTTGAAAATATTTTCTTTTAGATGCCCATTTAATACAAATGGGCATCATGGAAACTCATATATCCATAAATGTCATAATTAACAGAATACAAAAGGAAGTACGCAAAGTAATCTTACCTTCCTTCAGGTTCCTACCACAGATTATGCTACGCACATGGTGTCTCTGTAGTCCATAAGTAGACGAATGACACTAACAACATCTACTGTAGGCACTTGCTACTCCCAGTTAAGTCCTTGAAATCCCCTGCACACAAGTGAGCAAAGGACCTACTGTTGGAGTCCTGTGCAACAAGCACATGTAATGTTGTTCTCTCCTGACAAAACTCTCCTTAACCACACAAGACACCAAAGCTTTCAGGAGAATGGTAGTAAAACCAAAGGGTTTAAGAGGTTTATTAATTGGAATCCTTCCCCTTTAAGAATGACTGACAGTTGTTTTCTGGTCAAGTAATTGCTCCAAATGTGTCCTGAATTCAGACCACAGAGGGAGGCCATTGCTAATGAAGCCTCGACAAAACTTTCTTTCAAAAAATCTATTGTCTGAAAGATAATGGCTCGTACTTTTCGCTAATCCCTTCATTATAGACAATGTAAGGGAGAAAAGACACAGAGATGGACTTTTAATTTGAATGGCTACACACTGTAAAGACTTGTATTCATAAAATAGTTTAATTCAAGTAGGCACCTAATTCTTTATGAGCACTGGTGCTTTTGGAATGACAGAGTTTAATAATAAAATGAAATAAAACAAAGAAATGAATCACTTGTGGTTTAAAGTAGATTTGATCACATTGCATTGTTCAGTGGGAGAAAAGAATAAGCAATGTTATTATCGTTCCCTATTTAGGAGTTTTGTCTAATTAAACCGAGTTATGATACATAGTACAGAACTAATAAGATGCACTGTACAAAATTAATGGACATTTTATGCTGCATTTTCATGTTTATATCAGGAGAACTAACAAGAGGCAAACAAGCAGTGAGTTAAGATACAGATCTAGGCAAGCAAAGTAATAGGGGACAATCTTTTGTTTAACCTAATTAATTCAAACATGAGCAATTAGTGGACAAAACTAGTGTTGAGCCCAGTCCTTATCACCTCTTTAAAATGTTTCAATTGCAACTGTGACTCAAAATCATGTTGTTTACATGTGCCAAATAAATAAATAAACAAACAATATGGCCTCTTAGACTAATAAACTTGTTGGACTGCCTCTGATAGCTCAAAGTGGAATCTGGTTGGGGGCATCTGGGGTGTTTCATCGTGCAACCTGCAAGTTTCTCCCTTGCCAGTTGGCAGAACCAAAGCTGTGGCAGCTACAGTAGGTGTTGCAGAGATCAATCCCATCCTTAATGAGCCTAAAGACTTCACTAGAGATTTCCTCTGACCTCACTCCTCCTATCTGAAGATATATTTAGGAGCTCTTTGCATGCCATACACAAAATGCAACATGGAAAAGTGGTACAGAAAGTGATTTTTCTGACAGTATGTTGTGTGTTTTTAACATGAGAAAACACTTGTTTCAGAAATCCATATTGTCTTAGAGGAAATTGAGTTTGAATTTCAAATTGTGTTAAGTCTTAACCATCAGCCAAGCCATATTAAGAACATGCTGACTTTTTATATTATTTGTTGTATGTTATTATTTGATACTCATATCCTTTTGAGATTTGTCTCCCCAAATTCAGACAAATAGTTTAGATTGTTAAACACAGAATTTAGCTTTAATGTTTTCAGGGATTTATTACAGTGTTGGACTCCCAGACTGCTTTGCAGGGAGAAGGACACCATTGTTTTCCTTTGTATACTCCTTCATGCATTGCACATGGATTATTTTTACAAGGCTGAAAACTTATTGTAAAAAATCACAAAGACCAAAAGTACAAAAGTCTAAACTGATTACTAGCAGTCAGTGAACGTTTTGTACATTGCGAGCATTTTGCAGAATAGTGGGCGGTAAAAGATTGATAACATTTTTTTGAAATACCTTTCGCTACATGTCATACACTCAAGAGGGTCTTCCATTGTCTTCAAGGAGTGAGGGAGATACACAAACTTCACACTTGTCTTAGGATTGGCAAATGTCTAAGCAGCTGAAAAATTTTAAACGCCAACAAGTTTAAAGCCAAATGGCAACATGAGACTGTGTTGTCAATGCTTTCTATGAGCAAAATGGCTCTAGGCTAAGTAGCTTTAGCTGTACACCTTTTCTTGGTTGTCAAGGTTGTTTTCCAAGAAAGCACAGACCACAAAGCCCATTACTTTTGCCTGTAAGCAACAAGCTTTGCTACTAGAAGAAGGAAATAAAGAACTTAAAGATACCTCTGTGGCAGGGATTTGTCATGAAGTAGGTTGCTGACAACAACAAAGAAAGTCAAGCCTGTGAGGTGTTTTACAGAGCTATCTTTCTCCAACTTTCAATGTATATATTTATGCAGTTTTTAGATAACTGGTAGTTTTAGTACTCTTTTGTGTTCTTTCATGCCAAATATGTTGCACCATGATTTCAAAATGTTCTTCTAGAAAGGCAAAACATTGACAAGAACATTAATTGCCTTAGTAAGATGATACTACGAGAGAGCCAATGGACTTAGTGGATGATAATTTGTCTCATCAATTAGTGCTGGAAGTGAGAAGATTCATAGTGAGTGGCTCAGTATATCCAGTTGTCAAGAGAGAGAGAGGGAGAAAGAAGGAGATATGTCTGTGTGTGTGTATATATATATTTATATGTATATTTTTATATTTTTTTATATATATATATATTATCATCAACAGCACATGATCAAAAAACGGTTTTAGGTATCACATTCATTTTATATACCAGCAGTGAATATTAATTATCAGTAGGTAATAATTTGTATTAAAAGATCAGTGGGTGTTTTAAGTTGACTCATATGTTTGTGCTGCATTAAACCACTAGTGTACTACAGTCGTTCAACATTAATAATGGCTCACTTCCATTTAAGTGTTTTAGTGCTCAAGGTTGTACAATGCGTGCAGGGCCTTGGAATGACACACCTATATGAAATTCAGCCTATAATGATTTGTCAATAATTATATCTACTTGACAGGTTAAGACGTCAGCTCTTGAACTTGAGTTTTTGGAAATGCTATGTCACTAACAACAGATAATGTTGAACAAATTCTCAGATCTAATGCAAATACTTCTGACATCCTTTATTGTTTTGCCCACATCATTAATGGCAAATATCCATATCAGACTTTGCTAGATGCTTCTAATACCACCCAAGACGTAGACAAGGGAAATTGATAATCATTTTATCACATTAATATATTAAAGCTGTCCCTCTTTGTTTGTTTCCCCATTATCCTAATTGAGTACAAATTGGTTAAGAGGGTGCAGCATAGCTATCAAGCTCCTTAGTTTTATCAGATGACAATTTAAGCCCCTGAGATCCTATTAGGAAGAAAGCGGCTAATGTTTAAAGGCGCTGTGTCAGCTTACAGGGGGAAAGGGGGATGGTGAGCAGCAGGGGGATGACACAGAGATGATGGAAAGGGAGGGTAAAATGCTGAGAGACTGGTCATATGATCAGCTTGAGCTGAAATGTGAAGGAAAAGCTCACTCTGCCACTTCTTGTGCAGTCATAGGTGTTCGATATCAATACTTAGAAATGAAACGTATAGGACAGGGCTGTAGAGGTGAAAAAAATAACTTTTATTATGAACCAAGACAAGTAATTTAAATGTGGCTGTGAAGTAATATAGCTTATTACTATATAATGATATAGTAATAGCTACATTAAAGTCTGCTTAGTTTGTATTTTAACTGCTCATCAAAGTCATGAGGTTGGGGAGAAATAAATATTTGGAGCATTCAGGTAGTTTATCTTTTAATCTTTTGGTTAACCACAATAGTCCAAGGAGAGTAAACCCTCCCTTCATTCATCCAGATTAGTACCTTCCTTGCCCTATGGTTAATGCTTCCCACTTAAAGTCTAAATTAGCCTCTTTAACATTTCACTCATAGCTGTTGAGCTAATGTTGCACAAACATTGCTTGTATTACCTTAAAGTTTATTTAATATTTTTAAAAGAGATAAAAAAAAGTCATATAAATAATCCTGCTGTAAATAAACTAAATGAGTTCTAACATGAAGATGACAAATTAATTTAGAAAAAGAATTTAAGATCTGTGATCTAGAGAAAACTTCCATAGCCAAATCAGTTTATAGCTGTAATACTTTAGAAATGGGAAATATGGGTCGTGCTGGATTCAAATAATTAGCTGCTAAATACATGTTTATATTGAATTGCCTAACAGCATTTCATGTGACAAATTTTTTGAAGAACTGGGTATTTTGCAAGTATGGCATATTTGATGAATGCTTCTTCTCTGCAGTCTGGTATAAGTTCATGGAGGAGTGAATCATCGGTCTCCTCCTCATCTTCTTCCTCTTAATGCACCATTTTTGCAAGGTCCTCTGGAATGTCATTGTCATCTCAGCCCATCTGAACTGTTGCAATGTCTTGAGCACTCTGTGACAGGGTGAAATATATTAAAAAATATATGGAAAGAATAAATGTAACAGAAAAATGTCAGAAAAACCCCATGTATGTCCATACTTGCAACACTTTTATCAGTCAGTATGCACCTTCATTAAAGGCCTTTTTCACAGCTGATATTTACATTGTCATGGCTGGAAAACCACAGGTGTAACATTAACAATGGCTGGCTTTATCCTAGTGAGCTATGTACATGAGACCCTTGGAAATGACAGATTTAAACAAATTACATTGTTATTGTGGTATCTTGATCTTAATCTTGGTTGTAACATAAGGAAATGAAGTGGATAATACACTACATTATTAATGTTATTAAACAGACATGTGCCTTCCCTGCTATATGTCAAAATGCCTGGCATGAAAAAGGTCTTTGTACAAAAAGAAAAAATATATATTTTAAAATAGTGAAAGGGGCACAAGCATATTGAATGATCATTATGTATCTTCACTTCATTATTATTTGAGTATATGTATAATTGACTATGTTAAAAGTACTTAAGTAAAAGAAATATGGCCACTGTAGTATCCCAACTGGAACCATTTCTGTATGAATACACCCTAACCCTGATTAATCATTTCACTTGAAAATAGCTGTGATATAGGAACTTGGGATAAAACAAAACAAAGTAAAAAAG